GGCCCAGCCAGAGAACAACCATCAAGTTGTTAGCCCAACAAGACCCACCTTCAACCCTAGCTTTGGAAAGCACGCATCTCTTGTCCGCTTGTTCCGCAAGCCAACCTTCACCATGTCTCTCTTGTGTAACTCCATAAACATGAGCGTCGCCTGCTAGGCTGCTACTCTTAGGCGGACTCTGTTATATCTTCCCGTGGCCCCGTCCCATCGTCATCCACAACGGACCTAGAATCAGAAATCAAGACCTCTCCATCACTCAAGTAAAGGAGGACGAGGTAGAGTAGGTTTTGCATCCACATCCACCAGCCAAATCCCTAGGCCTCGTTTAGATTGTAAGTTTTTTCACTCTCTCTCCATCACATTAAATCTTTGGACACATGCATGGAGTATTAAATGTAGATAAAAAAATAACTAATTACATAATTTGATTGTAAATTACGAGACGAATCTTTTGAGCCTAGTTAGGCTATGATTGGACAATAATTATCAAATACAAACGAAAGTGCTACAGTGCCAAATACTGATTCCTAACCCCCAATCTAAACAAGGCTCTAGTTTAAGAACATACATACGAAGAAAAGGACTCCTCGTTGGCATCAGCACAGGTGGCTCTAGGAAAGCTATAATGACCATGAGTGTTCTAAATGTAGAGAAACCCAAGAGGGGGAAGGCCAAATTGGGCCTTTAAACATTTACGACTATGGCCCTGTTCGCTTTGCTGAAAAGTCATGGCTGAAAGTACTATTCGCTGATTTATTATGAGAGAAAAACATTGTTCATTCGTTGAAATAGTACAGCTCATAAGACAAGCGAACAGAACCTATGTCTCTACTAGAACTTCACTAGAAAACCCGTAAATTAAAGCATGTGGATCACAACATCACATTTACTTGTCTTTGCGACGGTCGAGCAAAAGAGTTACGCACACTTCAAAGGTAAACCACATGATTACAACTTTACAAGCAATCCTTTCTACAAACACCATCATAAAAGCAATTACAAACAACAAATAACGCGTTGAAATGCCCATAACCCATCGTTAGCACCTACTGATACACTATCGTTCATGATAGCAGCATTGTTCCTTATACCCATGCATTCAAAAATACTCAAATGTCGCTAGATCATAGAAAGCTTAATTATCAACAACATTGATATAATAAGATTTGTCATATGAGATCTCTAAGACAGGCTTAAACTGCTGCTGAACTTAACTAAAAATTCTGATGATGACCAAAATAGGAGCTACTTCAAAGTTCCATAAATGGAGATGTAGTACTCCAAAAATAGTGCACTTTCCCAATATGTAAATATTATTAGAAACACTACCTCTTTTGTTCATATCAAAAGCTCTAATTATTCTGTTACCATGGCTTAAAATACGTCAGATCTAAAAGATCTAGATTCTCGTCATTGAATAAAAGAAACAAAGAACAATGATGCTATGTGTGCTCCCGTGTGAGAGAAACAGGAGGCACCCTTTTTATAGTCAGACTAGCCCACTACATGAAACAATGTCATGGAGGGCTAGGCCCATTATAACACACCATGTCACGTCACGAGTCATGACACATGCGCGCGTGGCGCATCTTTCACCTCTTTCAACTTCTCAATAGGTGTAGTACACAATAATTATCTATTTAAGTCAACCTCTAGTTACAATCCCATGTGGCACTAAACATTTATTGCACCTAAAATTAAGATTTGTTGGGGCCAAACTTAATAATCAATAAAATCCAACGTGATGACCAACTCATATGTCGTAGATTTAGTACTTCATTGATGTCTTGAGGTGTTTACAAAAAAGTTCAAAAAAGTGTTAATTATCTATTTAATCTCAACCTCTAGTTAAATCCCATGAAAAAAAAAAATTAAACATTTATTGGAAATTAAAATTAAGATTTGTTGGGCCAAACTAATCCATCAATAAAATCCAACGTGATGACCAACTCATATGTCGTAGATTTAGTACTTCATTGATGTCAACCTGAATGTCACGCTCCCCACAGTGGCCTACGATAGCGAAGCCCCCAAGCCGTAGCCTCACGCACAAGAATTGTTCTTGAGAGATGGCTTTGTACAGTTCAGTTCATGAGGACAGGATCACAGGACTCACCCGGTCGACATGACAAGCAAGTTGGTATCTTGACGAGTCAGAAGCAATTAAGCGAGGCCCCACTAACCCGCCGACCTCAGCTGACAAGAACACCACCGCGCCGATCCGAAAACCACTTTACGCCTATAAAATTTAGGTGTCACGTCGAGTATGGGACGTTGCATGGGATACTAAGGTCTTGAGATCCCATCAAAATTCTAATTTTTTTCACTCTCTCTATCACATCAATTTTTGGATACATGCATGGAGTATTAAATGTAGGTAAAAAAATAATTAAATGCATAGTTTGATTGTAAATCACGAGACGAATCTTTTGAGCCTAGTTAATCCATCATCGGACAAAGTTTGTCAAATACAAACGAAACGTACTCATTATTGTAAAATTTGCAATCTAAACAAGGCCTAATAAAAAAAATAAATTACGAATCAAAAATTCGTCTCATCTAAAGCCTATTAATTCATAATATATGTAAATTAGTTATCAAATCATTAATTAGACTTAAAAATTCGTCTATAAATTAATCGTAATATATGTAATTAATCTCACCTCAACGAGTCCACGAGTCCTTACCCTCGTCGACATCCACGGCGACGAGGACACGCGCGAAACGCACACGCACCGCCGGCCCGGCCCTCGCGTACTGGTTAGGTGGGCCGGCCGACCACAAGGCGAATACAAAAAATACCCACTTGGGACGGTATTATCTGGATTTTTTTTTAAAACTTGGTATTATCTGGATCTAGTCTAGTACTAAAAAAAACAATTGTGGTCCCCGTGCCACCGCGAGGTCTCAGTCTGACTTTCTCGAATGTGGAGTTGTTTATTCAGTCCAACGACCGGTCGTCACTCGTCAGGGTCTTCCAGTTCCATTCCACGATCCACACAGGAACAAGGTCTGAATTTCTCTCTATGGCAATTTTCATCTTGTTTGAACACTGGTCCATTAATTCTTGAGTTATTAGCGCTATAGTCTGCTAGCACCAAGCAATTGCTAACCAAGGATTGAAGTAACATCAATATCACTCCACTTTATTTTCTTATAGCAACATCAATGGTATCTTTCTGAAAAAAAAGGTATATTTATTGGTCCAGCACGAAATTAACGTGCGTTGAGCTCATGATATGCACTAATCATAAGATAAGAATGCCAAACCGGGCACTATAATAATACCGTATGAACCTCCACAGATTACTAGATTAGAATACCACTGTAATCGAAGCCGCTTGCATCCACCTAACCTAATCATGTATCTTCGCCGGCCACTTCTATTTCTGATCATCCATCCATTCATATCTTAAACTATCTGCACCTGTTCACACTGATGACGAGAAACGTGCGCCAAAACAACCCGGGCGGCACCGCTTGGACTCCGCGTGACGCTCGTGCCGGTGCGCATGCACGCGCGCCTAGGTGTAAAAATCGGTAATGCTCCTGTTTGAACGTCCGACGTTTCGGGCGTTCTTCAGAAAACGATTCGACCGGCGCCTTGTATTATCCGTCCGCTCGACGCCCTCTCCATCCCCATCCCGTGTCCGCGCGCTTCACTTCTCTCGCTCTTCTCGCCCTCTCCTCCTCCCGACTCCTCCACTCTCTCACTCTGCTCGCGCCGCCGCTCCTCCCTCCCTCCACGACCTCCATTCCGCGACTGCAGTGGCTTCCAACGAGCCGCCCCTCCCTCCCTTCCTCGTCCCTCCCTCCCTCCCTCCGTGACCTCCATGCCACCGGAGAGGAGGGCGGCGGCGATGGCTTCCGACGAGGTAGGTGGATCCTTCTCTGGATTTGAGCCCTCCTCCTCCTCCTATCTCCTTCCTCCTCATCTGGATTTGAGCTCTCCTCCTTCTCCTTCTCCTCCTCCTACACCTCCTCTGGATCTGGATCTAAGGAATGCGGCGGTGGCTAGGGCTCCAGCGAGCTCTATTGCAGTAGGCTTGCTTTGCTGTTGCAACAAGCAATATTTTCTTTGTTGCATTAGTTTTTTTCCTGATGTTGCATCTCGCATTGAGCCTTTTATTTTTGTTGTTGCAATAGCGCCGTTTTGCTGTTGCAACAAGCAATATTTTTTTTTGTTGCATTAGTCTTTTTTTCGATGTTGCATCTCGCATTGCGTTTTTGTTTATGTTATTGCAGTAGTGTTGTTTCGCTGTTGCAATAAGTTTTTTCTTTGTTGCATTGGTCTTTTTTCTGATGATGCATCTCGCACTGCGCTTTTGTTTTATGTTGTTGCAGTAGCTTTGGTTTGCTGTTGCAACAAGTAATTTTTCTTTGTTGCTTTAGTCTTTTTTTCTGATGGTGCATCTGGCATTGTCCTTTTGTTTCTGTTGTTGCAATAACTTTGGTTTGTTGTTGCAACAAGTAATTTTTATTTGTTGCATTAGTATTTTTTCTGATGTACGCCTCGTATTGCAGTAGCTTTGTTGTGTTGTTGCAGTCGCTCTTTTCTAATGTTGTAGTAGACTTGTTCTGATGTTTCACCTCGCATTGCGCTTTGTTTGATGTTGCAAACAATTTTCTAATGGGAGTACGTTGGGGGCGGACGAGGTTGGGGGCGAATGGGAAACCCGTTCTATTCGATCCGTTCCGTGCGCAGGGGGTGGGCGGGTTCCGTGCGCGGGGAGCGGAGAAAGGGCGGTTCCGATCTCTCTTCTGTTACACGCGGGCGGGCGTGATCCCATGCGGGAGGGTAAGGCGTGGTACGAAGGGTTACGTCCACAACACCGTCTGATGGATCCATATCCGACATCCAGGCACCAGCGCTGCCCTATAAAAATCCCACAGCACAGCACCCTGAAACTTCATCGCCGCGACCTCGGAGTCCAAGACACCTTTTTCCGCCACTTTCTCGCGACACCGACGCCACGTCGTCGCACAGCCACCACCCCGCCATGGCGCCGAGGCTGGAGCGCGGCGGGTTCCAGCTCCCGAACACCGAGCAGGAGAACTCCCTCTTCCTCCGCGCGCTCATCTCCGTCGTGTCCGGGGACACCGCCGCCCCCGCCACGCTGCTCCCGGAGGCGTCAGCACCGGCGGCGGCGGCCGTAGAGGTTCCCGCTCCCGCTCCCGCGGCGTGCGTCAGGTGCGGCGCGGACGGGTGCCCCGGCAGCGGCTGCGAGCTCGTCGCCGGGTCGAGCAGGGACAGCGACGGCGCAGAATGCTCCGCGTCCGCGAGCCGCGGCAACGGCGGAGGAAGCGTGGGCAAACGGAGAGGGAGGGGGAAGAGGGTGAGCCAGTACATGGGCGTGCGGCGGCGGCCGTGGGGCAAATGGGCGGCGGAGATCCGCGACCCGCGCCGCGCCGTGCGCAAGTGGCTCGGCACGTTCGACACCGCCGAGGACGCCGCGCGCGCCTACGACGTCGCCGCGGTCGAGTTCCGGGGCCAGCGCGCCAAGCTCAACTTCCCGGCGGACGCTGCCGCAGCGGCGCCCGCGCCGGCTCCTTCCTGGGCGGGGGCGGCTGTGCAGCCACACCACCGTCCAGTGCCCGATCAGAGCCTCCGCGAGAACTGCGGGTCCAACGCTGCGTCGCCGGTGCACGTGGCGCAGGCGCCGACCACGCAGCAGGGAATAATAAGGCCGGCGCCGAAGGAACAGGACATCTGGGACGGGCTGAACGAGATCATGATGATGGATGACGGCAGCTTCTGGTCCATGCCATGATCCTGCTCCTGCACCTTCGTCCATCCATCTCCGGATCTTCCTCTTGTTTTAGTGCTTTTATATTTTATATGATGAGATTCCATGATTGTTTTTTAGGGAAGAGATTCCATCATCTCCCTCTGAAAAAGAACACACTTCAGCTTCACGAGAGATTGATCGGCATGCAGACGTACCTAAAGTGGATCCTTTAGAGTGGGATGTTCGGTTACCAATATTAAAACTAATTATAGAAGCCGTGACTAATTCGCGAGACGAATCTATTAAATCTAATTAATTCATCATTAACATATGTTTATTATAGCATCACATCGTCAAATCATGGACTAATTAGGCTTAATAAATTCGTCTTGTAAATTAATATCAATTTATACAATTAATTTTATAATTAATGTATACTTAATATTTAAAACTACTTTAGCAGTCCGAACTAAACTTTAGCAGTCAACGCTTGCCATCAGACCTGACCGTACTCTGTAGAATCTGTAACTTTTAACTGTCAGATCAAAGTTGTCCAATCAACTTATGTGAGGTGACTCTCCGCGGTGGATACACCGACCTCTGACCACCGTTGTCGTGACCTAGACTACGTTTTCGGTCACTAGTTCGGTCCGAGTCCATGTGAGTCGATGAGTGGCTACAAACAATCCAGCGTTCCTCGGTTCGTTCGCCTTCGTTACCTTTGACCACGGGCGCTGCACGTGCACCCACCTCCACCTTTACCGAGAAAGCATGTCCGTGTCCCGACCGACGTACAATGATGCATGCCGAATTGCCGATTCTAGACGTAGAATGATGCATGCGGACAGGCAGCTCCGATCTGTCACGCTTTCGCTGTTCACTCTACGATGATGCATGCGGATATTAAGAGTCCGTTTGGTAGTTCTACTTCATTGGTATGTAATGTAGTTTTTTGGCTTTGCCTGATGAAACAGAGGTTAAACTGTTTTAGAAAAATATTTGATAAAATAGTTTTTTTATGATTATTGAAAACACTAAAATATCTATAATACCTTTTTTTCTTTCTTTATTTTCTTGCTTGCTTATTTTACCTTCTTTCTCAATCCTCTGCGTGACTTATCTTCTCCACGGGATCCTTCTCCACCTAGATAGACCTGGGCATTCGGTCTGACCAAACCGAACCGATTGGTTTTTCGATCTTTTAAAAAGTCGGTCATCTAAAACTAGAGACCGATCGATTAGTTTCACAACTCAGGACCGAGCAAGTACGGTTTCGGTTAGTTCGGTTCGGTCTCGATCATGATCAAACTAACCGGACTAGATAAAAACAACTACTAAATATTATAATTTATAGCAAATTTTAGCAATATTTTTCTATTGAAGGCAAAAATAACAATACAAAATATAGATTAAACAAAATGATAACAGTCATGGTTGATATAAACCCACTAGAATAAATATTATATCACTAATAATAGTCTAAAGTATACATTATGTCAACAAAATTCAAATGTTCGGTTACCTGAGGCATATAACCGAACTAACCATAAAAAAAATCGGTAGTATGGACTCGGGACCGAACTAGTGACCGAAAACTTCGGTCTAGGTCACTTCGGTTAGTTCGGTTCGGTTTCGGTCAATTATGCCCAGGGCTATCCACCGCGGAGACCCTTCTCCACCTCACATAGTTTTAGGGGTTGTTTAATAACCCTAACAAGGACAACTTTGATCATAGGCAGTTAAAATCCTATATTTGCGAACGTTTTGCCTACCAGACGGTTTTATCATGTGTCAAACTAAATAGATCTTTATTTTATTGTTTTTAGCTACCGCATTAATAAATAATATTTGATTCATGGCTCAAATAGCCTTTGAAATGCATGGTTTTATTTTTTATATTTCTGAAGAACTTGTTGCATTTGAACTTGGAAACTTTGTCTACGAAGTCATCGAATATGGTTAGGTACCGTCTTATTAAATAAGAACAAAGCTCCCATTGAGATGGGTCGTCTAAGGCTAAAGGGCTAATCCAAGTGGATTTTTTAAAAAACGAATCAGGCAGGAGAGTTGTCGATTATATTAAAAAGAAGATGAACTCACACTGGGCAACAACAAACAACCAAAAAAACAACAACTCAGGCCGGTTGGATTGAGACATCAACACGCGCCGATCTCAAACTCAAAAGAAAAACAACTCTGGACGGTCGGATTGGGACATCGACACGAGCCAAACAAAGCCAAAAACTCAAAGAAGCCGCACACCGCACCGCCTCCAAACCACCATCAGCTGGTCGCCACATTGTACTGCCATCCCCCGAACGACGAAGACGTCAAGACGAAACGCCGTCGACGCCGACGAAGTCCCACACCGAGGTAGCCCGCTGCAAAGCAGAGCTAGTTGACACAAGCCACTGCGAGCCGTGTAGCCCTCCCGTAATTGAATCCGCTTGGGCCGCCTCTGAAGACTTTGTCCTACGCCGGACTAGCCACTGCCAAGTAGGGCTAGCCGCCGTGGTCCGCTGCAAGCTAGCACCCAATCGTGGGCGGCTGCCTCTGGCACTCACCGAGTCGACCCGCCACCGAGATCCTAGCACGAGATCCAAGTGGATAGTAACATACTTATTAATTAGATGATATATAGAAAAATTATGTAGTCTTGACGGAGCCCATGGGGTATATGGCCTAGGCCTGCCCGGAGGAGGCCCAAATAGAGGTTTAGGTTGCTTCATGTAAAAATCAGTCCACATCAAAGGTCTGCTTGTATGTGATCACTTTCCTTTGTAAAGTGTTCAAGGGCATAGTGAGGGGGAGGAAAGAGTTCTCTAGAATGGAATAAAGGAAGTCCTAATTCTTGTTATCCTGAGCTCGAGAACGAAGAACCTCCAAGAACATTCGAGAAAAGGTTTAACCTCCGAGAGCCCTTAAAAGAAGGTTTAATCTCCGAGAACCTTCAAGAACATTTGAGAGAAGGTTTAACCTTCGAGAACCTCTGAATGAAGGTTAAACCTTCTTTAACATGTGAGAACCTCCAAAGGAAAGTAGAACCTCTACAAACCTCCAAAGGATGGTAAAGGCTCCGAGAACCTCCCAGGGAAGTAAGTTCCGGTAATCCAATAAAACCTTCGCGAGTCTTTATATAAGCCTGCTGATGAAGTGAAATAAGATCTCCAAACGTTGTTTCACCAACGTGTACAATGTTTGAGTTTATTGTCAAACAATATAATGATACTATATGTTGATTGAGTTATATTATAATTATCATAATCATAACAATGTAAACGCGTGATCACTGCGGACAGCGGATAGCCTAAGCCAGACGGCAACGGGCACCGCGCGGAAGCAGAGAGCTTGTAGTTGTAGGGTGTAGCAGACCACGTGGATCGGACTGGCGGCTTCGGAGTGGTATTCTTGTTTCTTTTATATGCTTACTAATAAATAAAGTGGTATTCTTTTGGGAGCAACTAGATGACCATAGAAAAATCGTATTGTATATTTTACACAGTACAGGAAAAAATGCGGAGCACGTACGAGGCCGGTACGCGCCTACGCTGAAAGCACGTCGGTGCAGTCGATGCAATCAAACAGTTGGTCTTAGCTGGCGGATCACCATCAATCACAATCAGGAGTGTATTGACCTAGAAATTTGTTTGTGATTTTCTAGAGTTTTTTGGGTGGCGGCTTAGCACTGGCGTTCAGAATAAATATTGGAATATGATTATGCTATTTTTTTAAAAATAATTTTAGAGTCTCGTGTCTTGTAGTTCTGTACCACTGGAAGCTATTGCTGCGCTACTGTACGACCGTTTTATCATGTTACCCTCCGTGGTTACAAAAACAGTTTGTCATCTACCCTGGATCACCATCAATCACAATCAGAGCATCCCTAAAAATTTGTTTGTGAAAAAAACACCCAAATTTTTTTGGGTGGCGGCTTAGCACTGGCGTTCAGAATAAATATTGGAATATGATTATGCTATTTTTTTAAAAATAATTTTAGAGTCTCGTGTCTTGTAGTTTTGTACTACTGGAAGCTATTGCTGCGCTACTGTATGACCGTTTTATCATGTTACTCTCCGTGGTTACAAATGCTTGTCATCTACCCTGTACAGTACTCTCAAGCTGACCTTCCCAAACATTTCTTGAAAAAAAAAACCAAATTTTTTTCTTGCAGCAAAAGAAAAAGGGAATAACTAATGCCCGGACATCCGGCCCCAAGCCCGCGTACATGTCGTACAGGGATGGGCCGCGTGCGCCAGCGCGGACGCCTGACGAGTCCTCCGGTGGAGCGCTGCCGCCAGCTTATATCCGACACCGCCATGGCTCTCGCACTAGCTCACTTTACCTCGCTAAATAGCCCTACATTGAGATCTACTTTTCAACACTTAGATGAAACAATTGCAACGTACGACTGAAAACATATGAAACTACACTTGCAACATAGTCATTGTAACATATGCAACATCCAAATAGAACACTTGCAACATACATCTAAAACAGATGAAACTTATGGAACATGTTGCAACATGTGTGAAACATATGCAAATATCCGGATCAAAACACTTGCAACATACGTCTAAAACAGATGAAATATTTCTCTGAAACACTTGTAATATGTGCAACATCTCCGATCTACTTTTGCAACATCCATAAGAAACAACTACAACATACCTTTGAAACGACTGAAACACTTAAAACATACATTTGCAATGTAGGGTAGGAGAAACCTGGGCCGGTCTATTCCAGCCATTGGGGTCAGAGCCGACGGCGAAGCGACAACAAGACGAAAGCACCACCAAAGACCCGCAAGACCAAGATGCATGGCGAAAGCACCACCACCAAAGACTGCCTTGGCTCAGCCTGGTGGGCGGCGCGTGCTACGAGAAGGAGCGGGCGGCGCGGCGCACGGCCAAAGCGAGGAGCGAGGTGCGGGTGGTGCGTGCGACGGAGAGGAGAGAGAGCGAGGAGCGAGCGGCGCAGGTGGGGCGCACGATGGCGCGGCAGCGAGGAGCAAACGAGCAGCGCAGGGTCAAGGCGTGGTGGGATTCCTCCGAGCGGAGTGAGCGAGCGGTGTCCGGATGAGAATAAGAGACGGAGGAAGTCAAAGTTGTAGTGCACGTCACGCCACACATCCGTTTAGAGGGAGCCGCTGGCGTTGGACGTCCTGTCTATAGCATTATCGAAAGAAAAAATCCTAACGAGCTAGTGAGTGCAGACGAACACGGCCCGCCAGAGGCCCATCTGTTGCTTCCCCGTCTCAGCCTGCAAAAAGAAGGAAATACCACCAACCAGTAGCAGCGCTCGTGCAGTCCACAGACCACAGATAATGTGGCCCAAGTTCTCCTCGTCTTATCAGATCGGAGCCTGGCAAACAACCACATTTTTGCGCTTTTCCGCCCTGGCATCAGCATCACAGCCCGTTGGCCATTGAACGAAGCAACGAACGCCTCTAATTCCATATCCAGAACCAAGAGCTTTCCTGTCCAACAACCCCGGCCAAAAGACAAGATCAAGCACGGAACAACCATTCCCGGTCCCGGCTGTAGTACCCGGCAAGCAAACATCTCCGGCAGCGAGGGTGGGCAGTGGCAGCCATGGCGTCCACCGTAACAGCCGCCAATAGCCATGGAAGCGTCCTGCGTACCCGTACCGCCCCCTCCAGCAGGCCGCTCGCAGGTTGGAGCAGCAGACGCACGCTTGCCATGCCTGCACACCACGCGCGGTCACCCAGAGCTCGGGTTGTCGCCGTCCGAGCCGCCGGCACCCAGCGGCCGACCTGGTTGCCCGGACTGGATCCGCCGCCTCACCTCGACGGCACGTCGGTTTTCTGACGCTCTGATATCTGCCGGTGTTTCTCTGGAGGCGATGATGATGTTCGTCAGCTGACAGTGGAGTACTTATCTCTGATTGCAGATTACCAGGTGACTTCGGCTTCGATCCCCTGGGCCTCGGCGAGGATCCAGCAAGCTTGAAGTGGTACGTTCAGGCCGAGCTCGTGCACTGCCGGTTCGCTATGGCAGGGGTCGCAGGAATCCTTTTCACTGACGTAAGCTGCTGCTCACCTTCCCGTCTGTTTTTCATCAGAGTAAATCGCTTCAACCGAGAGATCAAATATTAGATGGGAAACTGTAACGACAACTGGTAAGCTCTGAAACAGCCAAAATGGTTATTATCGAAGTTTCGGAATTGCGGATTGCTTCACAAATGTTGTATGCAGCCCTAAACATTTTCAGTTACGAATTGTGGGCTTTACCCTGGTTAGAGGGAGCCCTTCCAGAAATTCTCTGCGACCCAGGGCCGCAGAGGGGGTTTGGAAATAGTTTTCAACCAGCAATTGACGCGCCTCGGTATTACCTCATGAGCTGCGTCATTGCCCCAAGCGCAAAGATGATTTCCAACGTCCACCCACAGCCTGCTTTTATACATCTCTGGGGACGCACGTTCGCTAACATAGGCGATGTGGTACTAAAAGGCAACCGACCTACTACTGGTTCCCGAAGTGCCGATTTGGGCTTTTCCTCTTCTATGTTACGCCCTGCTAATCATGCATGGGCCTGGTATCTAAAGCCAAGATTCACATGGGCTTTACTGATTTGGAGAACAAGGCTGACTCAACCCTTGCTTTGCTTGTGACTCTTTGGTCTTTGCAGTTGCTCCGTGTATCAGGGAACAGCGACCTCCCCGTGTGGTTTGAAGCAGGTGCGGCGAAATTCGACTTCGCGAACACCACGGCGCTCTTCTTCGTTCAGCTTCTCTTGATGGGGTAAATTCAACATAAACGACCAATCATTCCATCGGTGATAAAAAAAAAATTCCATAGAAAATGTTTGATTTCACGGAAAACAAAACTGACATTGTTTTCTATTCAACTCCGATCCCGACAGATTCGCTGAAACCAAGAGGTACATGGACTTCAAAAATCCAGGATCATAAGCAGAGGAAGGAACATTCATAGGGTTAGAGGCTGCACTTGCAGGTCAACAGCCAGGGTAAGTGAGCGTTGAAGCATAATAAGAGTTTACCTAACAAGGCCTTAGCTACGCCCATTGCATTTTTTAAATTTCGACAGCTACCCTGGGGGCCCACTGTTCAATCCACTAGGACTTGCAAAAGACATAGAGAATGCTCATGAAGAGAAGCTCAAAGAAATCAAGAATGGTAGATTCCTCTCAGTAAAATTTGCGAGAAAAATAAGCCTACACTTGAAGTTGCTAACAACGTGATTTCTTGCTGTCACAGGGAGGTTGGCAATGGTAGCCATGCTTGGCTTCATGGTGCAAGCATCCATAACTCATGCCGGCCCCATCGACAATCTTTTAACACACCTTTCGGACCCGTTCAACAAAAACATCATTCACGCAATCTCCTCTTCCTAAGTACTCGTCCCAACTCCCAAGACCTTTGTTTTCACTGTCCAGTACTATGGCACAAAAAGGTCACACTGTTTTCTAACAGGAAGTGGCCCTTGTTAGCTCTGCTCTTTCAAAGTTTTCTATCATGAAAATTGAATAAAAGCTTCAATAGCTGACGAACTGTATTAATAGCTCATGCTAGGGGGGGACGGAAGACAAGGAAATACAAATACAGCTTATCATTCTTTGTCATTGATCATAGTCCTCAGTATATTTGCTCACTTTTCATTTTCTTGGTTGATTTTTCGCAGTTCAAGCATGCTATAATCGCATGAACAGATGCTATATATAAGAGATACAGATAATTTATACGGACAAAACTGTTATAGTTGCACTATAAGCTTATACCTGACCACAATCAGCATTCTGTGCCATTTCGTATTAACTACGTCACTCAAATCTTGCCTTCAATATAAATACAAACTTGAACCTATATACCTGAAAAATCCATAGCACAAAGCATTCTGTTGTACCGTACATATATGAATCAAACAAAGAAAAAACACCGCATCTTGTCATCTACAGCTCACCCGTATCAACTAGCTTGAGCCCCCAGCTCATATCTTCACAGTGTCTTACATGTGGAACAAGCGTTCCTGTATCAGTTCCCCTCCTAGTTTTGCAATCATAGAAAGGTGGAGCATGAAAGCACGGCTCTATAGACATAACTTGACGGCAAGGTGGATTAGGTGCAGTGCGGTTTTCCGGCTTCAACATTAGCCACGTCTTCGAACCACTCAGACCCTGAGCTACATACCCAAAAGTTGACCATGCACTTGTTACCATAACATCAGATAAGCTCAACAAATAAATCTCTGCCCATGCTTTCATGTTATGCATTTTCTTGTCTGAATCCTGATGCTCCTCGTGACTTGGCTGATGGAAGCTAATTATCTCACCATTCTCAGTTGGATGTTCCCAATACATGTTCCTGATTCTTTCATAATATCCTGAGTTCAAAGAAGTAATCAGAACAACTTTGGACCTGATGTTCCCTGTCGAGATAATTGGCTGTTGTGCGTTAATCTCTGGTAGTAATTTTTCCTTCAGTGCGCAATCAAGGACCTGATCCAAGACATGCTGAAATGGACCGGTTTCAGTATCAAAGACTCTAATCTGGATACCTAACTTCTCATCAGCTCTGGCAAGGTAAGAATCATAGTACCTTGTAATCAAGCCCCAGACAACATTGGTAGGGTGGAACAAGTAACGTCCCAAGTGATGGAAAACAACATCTTTCTGAGGAAACAGCCTCGTGAGTTCCTCTTGGTATGATGGGATCAGAAAAAGTGAAGGTACAAAGTAATTATCGGATCTTAAGATCAGCCATGGGATCTTCTGAAGATGTTGCTGACTATGTTCACAGAAAAAAAGCTTATCATAATCATCATAGTCATGAGCCAGGTGAAGATATACAAAGGCAGGTTTAGGACCCTTAAAAGAACCATCAGAGTGAACAGCTTCAGTTTTCACCATGTTTCCGTAACTCTCAGGGGAGCCAATACTGAAGTTCTTAAATTGAACAATAGGGAAATCCGGCGGTAGTAACCATGAAGTTTCAGGGAACGGCTCACAGAAAAGATCTGCAGTGCTTTTATCTCCATCTACAAGTAAAACTCTGTTTGTAAGGATGGCATAGAGAAATGCTGAGGTAATAGTCAAGATCCTGTTCCCAAGACCACTATAAGATACCCATACCAAATAGTTGCAATCTCCAACCGAAATATCCTGACCAGATTTTAGTTGCTCAATAGCTTTCTTGTATGAATGTGTATATGGGCCACATTTCTTCTGGAGAACCTCATGTTCTCTCAATCTTTCCAGAAGGTATGTTGATATTAAATGGGGCGATTCTTTACGATACAATGCTGATTGGTATCTACTTAGACATGACTGTTCATCAAAACCAGGAGCTAACAAGCCACCAATTAGTTTGTCCCTTTGAACTTTGGAAGACGCCATAGTTCCATGCTCCCCTGAACACAGGAAGTGAATAGTTTTATATCAGAGTTCAGATGGAGTAATTTGACTTCATTCTGTGCAAGACAAATGCTACTTTTCATTCTTCCATTATATCACATTCACGACTGTGCAAGACAAATGGTACTTTTCATTCTTAGTAGAGATTACATTCATGACATATACATATGTGAGGTAGTGGATATTCTCAGGAAAAAAAAGAAAGGTGAGGCAACAGTGAATTACTAACTTTAATTATCAGTTCAATAAAAACAAAAATCTGTGCTTCCATGAACATCATCATGGCAAAACTTAAATAAGACTTTCTGCCACAGTTTAAATGGCAAACCAGAACAAATTCTTTTATCACAGATGCAGGATGCTATGTGAACGGTGAACCGCCTATAAAAAAAAAAGTACTCATGTTAAAACACAGTAGCTAATGCAAATCAAATGTCCACTACTTCAAATGCAGCGAGAAGCGAGAACATATTGCAAGATCAAGACTCCACACATACACAGTGGTGTTACATTGCAGGTGTCAGCCTAAAAGTTGTACCGTTAAAAAAAACATTATCAGTGGCAATTACTATCCCTCCACAGCGATCGATATCCACTTCGTATGACTTTTACTGAAAGCTTGCTACTGGCCTACTATATGTAGGAAAAGCACCACATATAGTTGTAGGAAAAACAAATGCCTGGTAAGTTAACGCTACATCTACAGTAAGAGTATGGAGCATAGCATGCGAACACAGGGAAAGTCACGAAGCCCCAGATATTGATTAAAGACGTCACGTCTGCCATACAAGACGTCACGCCGAGACCCGCACAAAGTACTCGGGGAATTTCAGAAGCGCGACCAGATGGCGGTCCCAAACCGTCGAAGTCCAAATGGAAACTGTCAAACCAAGGACCACATGAATGTATTACGTACCATCGCGCGGTCCGGCCTGGTCAAGGCCGCCACGGTCGTCGCCGCCGGAGAGAGTGGTACGATCCGCGCCGGTGAATTGGCCGCCCCTCCTCGCCGCGGAGCCGCCCGCAAGCAGTAGCAGCATGACCCCGAACGCCACGAGCGCCGCGATCGACAGGGGCAGCACCGCGACCCGGCCCTTCCTCCCGTGCGGGTGCCCGGGCGCGGACGCCGCCTCCCCTACCGCCTGCGGCGTCAGCGTCGGCGGCGGCGAGCGGCGGATCCGCTCCTTGATGTCCATGCGGCGTGGCGCCCGAGCCGAGCCGCAGGGTTCTTCAGTTCTCCCCGCGCTTCCGCCGCGGTGTGGTCTGTGGGAAAGCACAAAGGAATCGCCGTCGCGACGTGGGGCGTCGTGTCGCGCCACGAAAGGCTCAGTTCGGGCGCGGACCCGCGCGGCTGAAATAGGCGTTTACGAGGCCGAGCACGTGATGGGGGCCGAGTGGCACAGGGGTTTTCGATGCGTTTGAGGTGAAAAAAGTGGGGTCCCGTATAGTGGCGACGTGACGGCACGGTGGCGAGTGGGGGCGTCGTCCTCGGCACGACGTTGTCGGTGAAACTGGAGCGCCTAGGCGTGGCGATGGAGTGAGGACATCGGACGTGGGGTTTTCGCCTGTTGCATAGTCGTCGTCGCCGCGGAGTGTGGGTTCCTGGCCTTGCTGGGCGCGGGCGGGGACGCCGGGCGCGGCTCAGCGGATGGTGATAGTTGAGCCGTTGAGCACTTGAGCTGGCCGGCCGACCGGGTCATGTCCCTGGGGTGCCGGGTTCGTCCTCCGCTTTGGGGCGCATTTCCTGTTTGGATCCGCTTATTAGGTACGAGCTTTTTTGATAAGTCATTGTTTGGCTCGTGGAGACAATAAGAGAGAGTTGAAGAGGAAATTCATAACCCCTGTTTGGTGTGAAGGTTTTAAGTGAAAAATCATATGACAAGTCATGGTGATGGTGTATTTATTTTTCATTAAGAGCACAGTTTCCACCCAATTGCCACCCCTTCCTAGAAAATTAATTAGTGACAGTTGGCCGTCTAAACTCTCATCACCTGAAACTCCCACTTCCACGAAAACAAACAAAAAGACTCCTAAACTCCTTCAAACTCTAATCCATCCTCTCAAGTACCCCCAACCAAACCTGTCATAAAGGGTCCTTTTCAAGACAAGGGTCATCCAAAACCTTTTTCGACCAAATCATGGAAAACATCCTTTTTCCAACTACCATTTTTCCAAAACTAAAGATAGTCCTAGTTATATCCTCATGAACTCCAAAGTCAATAATTAAAGGAACATGTTCACTAAAAAATTTGGATCCTATGTCCTAACAACAGCTAAGGGCTACTTACTTTCAAAAGCAACGCTGCTAAAAAAAATACCTAGAGCAGCCATAATTAGTTGTTCCTGATTTGTTTCACCAAGTGTAAGCCCTACTAAAGTACTTATATTCAATCATACCCCACTCATTGCACCAGTCATTTAACATAGTAGGCCAATGATGATTAATCATCCCATTATTTTTCTCATTTTGAGTTCTACAATATTAAAATCCCCATCAACTAAGGTTGGTTTATTCCAATTATCCATCACCAAGTGAAGTTCATCAATAAACTCTTGTTTACTTTCCTCATAAGGGGAGCCATACACCACCACTAGCCTTCAAACAAAATTATGTACTACATTTTTAATATGCCCAATCAAACAAAATTTGAAATTCTGTCAACATGCTATCTCTAATTTGCCAGCATTAACCCCTACTTACCCTTCGCAGGTACCTACTATCATGCAAAGATTCTATTAATGTTACAAGACAACACATGAAACTTAATATTGTCCTTTTTCTTCCTGCTTGGCTGCGATTTGAGAACCTGGGATAAAGCCATACATTAGAACTTGTTTAGTTGCACTCCAATCCATCTTAATCCACATGGATTGAGATTTACGAGCGGTTGAGGTGGATTGATGTACAACCAAACAATGCCATAGGGATTTAGACTTCGATCTGCGCATGTCTCGAACAATCAGCACAGAATCCCCCTTCCATGGTTTTGTAGTCCCTGGCGGCACGTTGCTGGGATTTTTGGTGATCAAAGTTAAGCAAATTGAACCCTGCCACTTGTCAGCACCTGACTGATCCACCCAAAATCTGTTCTGAAATTTCAAGCCTTGTACAACTTTGCATCGACAAGTTTGAGTCCCCAGCTCACATCCTCGCAGTACCTGACGTGCGGCAGCATTTTCCCTGTGTCGGCTCCACGCTTCAGCTTGCAGTCGTAGACGTGCGGCGCGTGGAAGCACGGTTCCATGGACATATCCCGGAAGCACGGCGGGTCCGGCGGCGACGTGACGTTGGTGGGCTTGTGCAACACCCACGGCGTCATGCCGCCGAGCCCTTGCGCGACGTACCCGAACGTGGACCAGCCGCTGGTCACCAGCACGTCGCACAGGCTCAGCAGGTACATCTCCGCCCAGGCCCTGTCGTCGTGCGACTTCTTGCCGTACTGCTGCTGCTCCTCGTGGCTCGGCTGGTGCACGCTCACGTCCTCGCCGGTCGCCGTCGCGTGATCCCAGTAGAGTCCCTTGATGCGCTCGTAGTACCACGACCGGAGAGAGGTGACCAGAACGGCCGTGGTTCTGCTGCCGCCCGGCATCATCGGCATGGCGTGTTTTTCCGTGTCAAGAACCTCCGGGAGCAGCTTCTCCTTCCACAGGCACGACGTGATCTGCCGGAGGACGACCGGCGACTGCTGCGTCCAGGGATCGAAGTTGCGCACCTGGACGCCGAGCCGGAGCTCCGCCCGCGCGAGGTACGCGCGGTAGTACCGCGTGACGAGGCCCCAGACGTGGTTGGTTGGGTGGAACAGGTACCGCGCCAGGAAGTGGAACACGGCGTCGCGCTCCGGGAACAGCATGTCGAGCTCCTCCTGAAACGCCGTGACCAGGAACAGCCCCGGGACGGTGTACATGTCGGTCCTCATGACCAGCCACTGCACGTTCGACAGCAGCCGCTGGTCGTCGTCGCAGAAGAACATCTTGTCCTCGTCGCCGTAGTCGTGGTCGAGGTGGAGGTACACGAACGCTGGCAGTTGCGTCGCCGTCGCCGGCGGCACGTCGGCGTTGAGCACCTTGTTCTTCAGCATGTTGCCGTAGCTCTCGGCGGTGTCGATGCTGAAGTTGGTGTAGCTCGCCAGGGGAAAGTCCCGCCGCGGGAGCAGCCACGTCGTGCCGGGGAACGGCTCGCAGAAGAGCTCGTCCATCTCGTTGCTCGGGTCCACGAGGAGGACGCGGTCGGTGAGCACCGCGTAGAGGAACGCCGACGCGGCGGCCAGGATGCGGTTGCCGAGGCCGCGGTGCGAGATGGAGACCACGTACTTGCACTCGGGCGAGTCGACGCTCTTGCCGGCCCTCAGCTGCTGGACGGCGCGGCTGTACGCGTCGGTGTTCGGCCCGCACCGTCTCTGGAGCTCTTCGTGTCTCCGCAGCTTTCCTATGAGCTGCGGAGAAGGTCGCCGTGCCGGGTTCCGGCTGTACATGGAAGACTCGTACCTGCTGCGGCATGATCTCTCGTCGAGTCCATCGGGCAGGAGGCCACCCAGAAGTTTGTCAGGTGGGCTTCTTGCGTACGGGAAGGAGCCATCGCCGGAACCTGCACGGAGCAGACGGAGTTTATCAGGTTTGACTTCATAATTCAGATTGATGACTCCTACATTTCCAGATAGGCAGATATTGGAAGTCCTACCAAAGGGAGGGCTGAAAGACGCCGCCAACAGAGAAGGATGTAAAGGAATTGCAGATGAGAGTTCAGCGAAGAAATTAGTAAGATGCTTAGATTTTAGTTCAGATTACCCAGTCGGGCAGGTCACAGAAAATGCAGAACTGCTGCGAATCTTCAGCACTATGCTTCTAAGCACTGGCATTGTGATCTGCTGAAGCTTGTGTGTAGCACCCAAATACATATGTAGCTACCACGAGAAATAAACAGCAACATGGAAGTATGGAACTCACCTCGCCGCAGCTGGGCCTTGGCGGCCGCGATCCAGACCGATGGCGCGATGCCGCCCCCAGCGTAGAGCAACGATGACCGGCGGCACGGCCATGACGAAGGCGATAAGCATGACGTTGACCACCGTGTTCCAGCGCTTCTCGTCCAGGGCCAGCCTCTTCTTCCGCGGCACTGGTGAGTGCTCCGGAGCGCCTTCGGCCTCAGGCCAGCTGCCGTTGCGTGCCATCGCCATCGCCGGGATCTCCTGCGCCGCCGCGCTCTCGGCGCCGCCCCAGACGACCTTGGCCTTGCGTTGCTGCATTTCTGTCTCGTGTCTCCCTGCTAGCTTGAGATGCAACGCGAATCCACAGGCCAGGAGGAGTTGAAAACTATGCCGGGGTGTGCGTTGGATTGGACACTGCTAGTTTGGAGCGGGAGAATACAGTAATTGTAGTATTTGTTTTAGTCCATCGATACACATTGGATTTGCGACTAATCGTAAGCTACACTCCAGCTGGGTGCTGCACTGAGCTACTGCCGCTATCAACAGGGGACATGGTTAATTACTGAAGAAGAGCATCTCCACTGTTCGTAGATCGTCATAGTGTCATAAACTAACCAGTTGACTAGCATGACCATTAGTGCGGTTCGAGTAGCCCAGCTGGTGGGCATCTCGAGGTGTCCTTTCTGACCTATGGAGACTGGCCATTGTGGAAAGCTTGGTAAACGAACTGAAACTTAAAACATTTTTACAGCATAGATTGTTGGGCAGGGTAAATATCACACCGCTCTGCACCTGGTCTGGTCTGGGTCACATACGCAGTTCAGGCTGCTATAAACTGTTTGCTTAAGCATAGGCAAGCCTACGTCCCTAGGCATGCGTCTGGACGCGGCTCCCGTTCGACGCAACCTCCGTGCCCCCCATGTAGGCTGCACCCGCGCGATAAGAGAGCGCCTGCCCACCGCGCCTACGTCACCACACGTCTGCGTCCCTGCTCCCAAACCGCGACGTAAGCAGCCCCTCCGCCCAGCGACCATCCCGCTCTGGAGGCAGCATCCGTCCGTACGGAGCTCCCTCGTTTGCTCCCGACGCATGCAGCTCCCTCATCCCGTGCCCATCGCCCCATCGCCCATCCCTCATTCGTATGGATGCCCTGCCGGCTCCGGGAGAGACAATGTAGCAAAAGGTGGGAAGAGGAGAGATGCAACTCCCAATCTACTTTTGAAATATCCAAATACAACGGTTGCAACATATGTCTGAAGGCAGTTGAAACACTTGAAAAACACACTTAAAACACACTTGAAAACCATACGCAACATCCAAATAAAACACATGCAACATATGTGTGAAACATATGCAACATCCAGATAAACACAATTGCAATATGCGTTCGGAAAACACAGATGAAACACTGGAAACAAAAGCTTGCAACATACGTGTACAACTATTGCAACATATGATATCTACTTTTGCAACATCCGCATGAAGCAATTGCAATATTCCTACAAAACATCTGAAACACTTGAAACAAACGCTTGTAACATACACTTTTAAGCGGAACATCTGCTCAGACGAATTGCCAGTACGACTCCACCGCCTGTCGTCTCGGATCCATAGTTGCTGCCTCGATAGGAGGAGAATCGAACCCACCACGGTACCGGCCGGATCGGAGGGCGGGATCTGGGATGGGGAGCGGGTGGAAGGCGTGGACCGAGGCAACGCCGTGCGCCCGTGCCAGAGCAAGGCCGCGCGCCCGCGTCGTGACCGCTGCCGGGGTCACGCCCGTCCCCGCACCGGAGTTGAGGCCGGGGGCCAAAGAAGAGGAAGGGGGTCGTGGGGGGTGGCCGTGTGGATCAGAGCTCGTGCTCGCGCTGGGGACACCGCCGTGCCAGAACTGGAGGAGGGAGAGGGAGGCAGCCGGGCGCGTGGCTCATGCGACGCGCGTGGGGGCGGGGGCGGGGGAGGGGGCGTGGCTCGGCAAAGGAGCGTTGAGGCATGGGTGCGACGGGTGCGGAGATGCCACGGTGGGGGAAGGGCGTGGGAGGAATGAGCGGATGCGGAAGTGAGCGGATACAGGCATCCGTCCATCTGTCCGAACGTCTTGTACGTATCATTATCGTTAAGCTAATCACAAGGAGATAAACATTTGCCAGTAAAGTGGCCTCCCGTTCAAAGCCTATGCTTATCGTCTTAAAAGAAGCCCATGCCTTTGAGGCCTTGGCATATGGATACGGGCCACATTTAAAAGCCCACACTTCATGTACTTAGGCCCAATATTCCTGCCATCAGTCATGGCTGGGCTCCCCGACTACCCGAAACTCCGCAAAGCCCACTGCTTCCGGGCGCGCCATGGCCGCCGCCGTCGTCCTCACACATCTCGTGCTCCGTACCACTCACTCAAGGGGAGATGTGCCACATGCATTAGGGCTTTGGAGGAGAGGACGGCGTCTGCGTCTCATCTCTCAACGGCTCCGTGGTCCGTGCGTTGCCTTGTGCCTGACCGCATTGCAGTAATCTTTCTGACTAACCTGTTCTCTCGACACCTTTTCTTTCCTAGTTTAATGACTGGAACTACGAGCGTCTTGTATCAAGCAGTTTTTTTAAACGACAACAAAAGCTTTGCCGCAGGTTTTTACCAGACGAAGAAAATAAAAGACAAAGAGGTGGCCCCGTTTTTTTTGGAAACCGAGCAAAAAAACATACAGCCAGTTTTAGTCATGGACTCATGGCAGTGACACACAAGGATAATACAAGACATGCCAACGAATTGGAAAAATGAGCGATGATCAGGATTCAGACAGTAAACATGTTTTTCTTCCTTTTGACATCAGAGAATAAACAGATTGAACAGATTAATGGATCTGTTTATCAATTATCTACACTTGGATCAAATACAGGAGGGAAAGAATACATTTTGTATAGTTTCTTTTACAAAAAAAAAAAAGAATTCTGCCCTAGTTAGCAAGCAAGTCTGTCGTGATTCCTGACAAAATTACAGCTACAAATGAGTTTGATTTACAATCTTCAGCCCCCAGCTCACATCCTCGCAGTGCCTCACGTAAGGCACTACCTTGCCCAAATCAGCGTCCTTCTTCGCCTTGCAGTCGTAGGAGGGAGCCTGATGGAAGCACGGCTCAATGGACATGGCACGGCCGCACGGTGGGTCTGGCATCACGTGGTTCTCCGACCTAAACATGATCCATGGCTTCAGGCCGGCGAGCCCCTGAGCAGCGTACCCAAACGTGGAAAAGCCACTGGTGATCAGTACGTCGCTCATGCTCAGTAGATAGATCTCAGCAAGTGCCTTCATGTTGTGCTTTTTGTTCCTTGACCTCTGGTACTCCTCGTGGCTCGGCTGGAACACTCTGACAGTTATGCCATCAACTGATGGTTGCTCATCGTACTTCTTCTGAATTTGATCACTGTACCAAGAGCTCAAAGAAGTCGTTAGAACAGCAATCGTTCGGTTATTTTGAGTCCCAGCTGCTGTTCGGTTATTCTGAGTCTCAGCTGCTGCTCCCTCTGCCATACTAACTTCTGGAAGCAGCTTTTCATTTTGAGCACATGAGAGGATCTGATTCAAAATGTGTGGGAACGGACCATTTCTTTGTAAGATACCTTTGGTTTCATATATTCTGATCTGAATTCCCACTCTTTTTTCAGCTTTGGCCAGGTAGGACCGGAAGTATTTTGTAACCGAATACCAAACATTATTTGTCGGATGAAAAAGATAGCGTGCCAAGTGATGGAAAACAGTGTCTTTCTCAGGAAATAGCCTGCTGAGTTCATCTTGGAAAGCTGGAATGAGAAATAGGGACGGCACAAAGTACATGTCTGTTCTCATGATCAACCATGAAACCCCTTGCAGGAACTGTTGGTCGTCTTCACAGAAGAAAAGTTTGTCATGGAAACCATAGATGCCATCAAGGTGGAGATACACATAGGGAGGTCTATTACCAGCCAAAGATCGATCTGTATTTCCACCGAAAACACTATTCTGCAGCATGTTTCCATAGCTCTCAGGACTACTCTGACTGAACTCGTCATTGTTCAGAGGGAAATCTGAAGGAACCAACCACGATGTTCCAGGAAAGGGTTCACAGAAAAGGTCTGCAATCTCCTTATAACGGTCCACGAGCAAAATCCGGTTTGTAAGTAGCGCATAAAGGAATGCTGAAGTGATCTCAAGCATCCGGTTCCCTAAGCCAGCGTGAATAATCAGGAACAGATAGTTGCAATCTGTCACATTGATGCTTTGACCGGACTTCAGCTGCTTTGAGGCTTCCTTGTATGCTTTGGTGCCTGGACCACACTTTTTCTGCAAAGCTTCTTGTTTCCTTAACCTCTCTATGAGGTATGGAGAAGGTATGCTTGGTGAACTGTGATAGCGTGCAAACTGATACCTGCTTCTACATGATATCTCATCAAAACCCTCAACCAGAAGGCCACCCAGAAGTCGGTCATAGGCTATTTGTGGCGATGGTGATAGATCATCGGACATATCATCTTGTATATCTGAAGAATATATAAAGAGGTTTGGGTCAGTCAACTGCACATTGTAGTTCACTATCATGGAAGAACATGGTGTTGGGCTGTTGGCACATGGGTGCTGCCAATGCCAGAGGAGAAGTGGAGCACTACAGCTACAAGTAGTCAACACGATATAGAAAAACACGATGCCAGGAAGGACTAACAGAAAGAGTGGCTATTCAATGAATATAACCATGAAGCATGCAACAATGGACACTGCATAACAACTCCATCTCCTTGGATTAAATGTGCACATCTACTGTTTTCAACGGCTGGTAGGTTGTTTCTTCTTTTCGCAATTAAAATTGCTTGCAAGTTGAAAGAAATTATGCATCCCACTTGCACTTGGAGGTCGTTCATCATAGACCTGCCCTTTCTGCAATTCAAGGGACTAGCCGACTAGGAGAAGGGAAGGACCCAGTCCTTTGCTGTTCCCTCGTGCTGGGAGCAGTATTGCACACTGTAACTGTAAAACCATTGGCTGGATATGCATGCACCTATCGAATGGTCTTGTTTGTATCACCAAGTGCGACAGTTTCTCTATGCCATCGATCCACCCTTGAGATACAAACAAATCTCTCAAAACTATTTTTTTTACTTAAGTTTTTTCTTAGAATACACGACGTGCGAAGTGTGAACCTTTTCTTTGACCGGAGTAACAAAGCAGTAAACTTGATTCTAGCTGAACAGCTACAGTTTCTTCGCATAGCTAAATCATTTCAACATCCGTGTGAAGATGCTATTTACTGTCTATGGACAATAAAATTATACGTTAACTTAAAATATCTGTGGTAATGATATTCAGGTGAGGATAGTTCATCCCCCGGTGATCTTCTAAAAAAATGACTCACACTCCCTACATAGACAACTATGATTAGATGAGGACCACATACTCCCTTTGTCCCAAGATGTGTGACGGTTTTTACTTTTAAACTTCATGTTTGACCGTTTGTCTTATTCAGTTTTTTGTGTGCAAATAATAAAATAAATAAGTTATTATTAAAGTATCTCTAATGATAGAAATAAGTCATAACAAAATAAATAATATTTATACAAAAATTTGAATAAGGCCGACGGTCAAACAAGTCTAAAGTAAAAAATATCACTTATTTTAGGACAGAGGGAGTATTTCTTTGTGAAATCCCTATGCCACATGTGCTTTATTCTTGTACAGCTTGTGTCAGACACAAAGAGGGTGCAGAAAAAGCATATCCTCTTCTGCAACCTGCCACCAGAGTTGCGCAACAGTAAACTGGGACAATTAACGCAATAGCCTATAGTGAACTTTTAGGGCAGCATGAGTTTATTAAGATCATGATGAATAAATTCCCTTCTCTCTCTTTCAGAACAGTATCCCTAAAGTTCCACTATTTTTTAAAAAAAAAAGAGTTACTTTTGCTATTGAGAACAGTTGTATATATAATAAAAAGGAAAAACGTTAAACATGCTGAATAATCTATTAAGAATCACACGACACAAACAGTCCTCCTGAAAAGGAACTATATGTAGATTCTCCGTAAGGACTGCACATTCAAGAGAACCATGGAGGCATGCAAAAGCTGAACAAGCACGGCCAGCGCGTCGCGTGCCGCGTTGGGGACGGATTCTTCGCCTCCACCACCGCTCTCTGCAGTCTGCTTTCCGCCTTCCCCAGGCCCCAGTCTCTGCTCATCGTCATCCCCAAGGGACATGGGCTCTGCTTTTCCTAGGCGCGTGCGTGCAAGTGCAACCGAGCATCGCTGTCGGTTTTGGCCTTTTTGGGACAGCAAGGGAGCAAGGCAGAGTCAGTCAAACGAGTCAGGCTATCGCCCATGCGACTGTGGCTGTGGCTGAGCTCCTGTTGAAGCTCCATAATATAACCGGACTAGAATAGCCGTTTGCGCCTCAAAATGAAATAACCACACTACTGTACATAATTTCCAGCTTGGCCTGACCCTGACGGGTAGCATGTGTAGCAGCACTTACATGCTGCAATGCGCTGGGGTGGAGTAGTTTCAGGTGCATGATGGTTCGATCGTGGTCCGTACCTGACTTCTTCCAGGGAGGGCAGTCGAGGTGAGCCTGCTTGGACCTGAGCAGTTCTTCGTCCATGCTGACGGAGAGGTTTCGCCGCTGCACAAGCGCCGCAGAGAAGGCAGAGCACGAGCACGCGCACCAGCGACCGTTGTGAGGCCATTGCGTGCAGCAGCGATCGATAAATGCTACAACCGGTTTCGGGGGCTCCGTGGAGCTGATGGAGGACTCGTGACCCGGTCCGCACGCCTCGCAAGGCTAATACTTTGGAGCGGCCGAGAGCGAGAAGATGAGCTAATTTGGCGGAGGAAACAAGAACACCACGATGCAATCGATGCAAGGTTGGTGTCCTTTTCTCGACCGGGCGGATGCAAAGAAGTTGGCGCATGATGGACGGGATTTATAATAATGCAAAATGTGCTCGCTCTATGCCAAAATAAACCAATTTCTATAATCATCCTAAATCAAATCAATTTTGGTGTCACTATGCCACACATTGTAGTCGAATAATACTCAAAGTTCTGAATGGCGGTGATTTAGGCGCCGTTCGTTTATCTTATAATCCGTCTTTTTCAGCTTATTTTCAGTCAGAACATGTTTTTCTCTTATATCAAATCAAACGGAACAGTGTTTCGGTTTTTTCAGCGAATCGAACGGAGCCTTAGGATTCAAAGCAGTATTGACAATTACAACAAGGAAAAAAGATGGGGCGTACGTGGCTGAGCTCCCGAGGGAACAAGGTGGCAAGCGAGGCAAGGCTAGTGGGATGAGGCGGTGAGCACTGCGGCGTACTAGGCGCGTAGCGCCAGTAGGCGGTGGCCACTTGCCCAGTTGCCCTGCCGGGGCTAGCCGCCCCAGTTGCAGAAATCGGGCAGCCCACCCATGATGACAGGGAAGGTAGGCTCTCTGCCAAAGCCATGGAAGATGAGAAGGGGAAGGTACCCTCATTACGTGTGAGGGTAAATATTTGGTGCAAGTGCAAATCTCTCAATCATTGTACTTGTATAATAACCGTGAAGGCACTATTAAAACATATACTTACAAGTATTATTTTATTTATGATCACACTGCATCAAAAGTTAAGATACAAATCATTTTCTAAAAATTTATATAAAAATAAACAAAATTCATGTGCACTAGATGACAAAATTCATGTGCATACACATTAGCTAACAATACTCCTATGATTTTGTTTTCTGGTACATATGCACATAAAATTTGTTATTTCATATATTTTTTCTATGATCTTTTTAGATTGAGTTTGTAGTACAATTGTTGATACAATAGACATCTATATATACACTATGAATGGGGATCATCCTCTATCTTGGGTGTGACCTGTGAGATGTGTGTCCAACTTTTAGTTGAACCTAAATTTTAGGACCATTTAGAACATGGAAATTTCACAGTATAAGAATTTCAAAAAAAATCAGTTTAATTTAAACAAAACGTGGGATTTAGCTGCTTTAGCACCTTTGTTCGATTTTGGCCACAACAACGAACTCAGGTGCACAAGGTAAGTTCGAATCAGGGCTATCAAATTGGTTACCCTAATTTTGACATGGCGAAATTTAGCCAAACACATTTCTTCGCACGCAAAACACGTGAGGCCTCAGCTCAATTTTGAATCCAACCCTTTGCCTATCAATTGGGTGGACCTTCATAATAAAGGAGACTTGTCGGGTGGCCTCAGGCCTCAGCTCTAGACTGGGTAAACGGGTCTAAAGGAAATTTACTACTCTTCTGTTTATAAAAACTTAATATTTAGGATTCAATCGTTCAAATTTTCGACCAAAACCTAATCATTCTAGCACTTAGAAAATTTGCTACTTTTCTGTTTCAAAAAACACTATTTTAGGATTCAAAATTTTGACCAAAGCATAATCATTCTAACACTTAGAGGATGACAAATAATACAACCTACTGTTACTTGTGTTTACATTAACAAATACATGTTTCACTTTCTTCTCTCAAGGTTTTTTTAGAGCTCATGCATCGGATAGCTATAAATGTACAACCTACTTCTTTTCTCTCTTCCACCTCCGCATAAAGTCTACTATCTCTGTTTCCTATAATTATCCTAAGTCAAACTATCTTAAATTTGACTAACTTTATAGAAAAAGGTAACAACATCATGAAATCGAATAGATATACTATTAAAATATGTTTTATAATGTATCTAGTTATACTAATTCGGTGTCATAAATATTGGTGCCGATGAGACATAAAATACCTTGATTTAGGACAACTCTATGGTCCTTTATGAAACACATGATTGAAAAAAATGCATAAATAGGAAAAACACATGAACAAGAAACAATACGGTTTGAGTTGATTTTTTTCCCATGATTTTCCATTGAAACCGAATACTAAGGGAAAGTTTCCTATGTTTTTTCTGCAAACAATTTATGTGAACAAAAGATGCTACAGTAACTCAATTCATAGGTGCGAGAATCCTATGTTTTTTCTCTAATCCAAAGAGTTGGATGGACCTAAGTTGATTTAATTTGAAATATTGGGCTACAATCCATAGGGCCCTATACGTTGATTAAATTTGAAATGGAGGGAATACTTATAACCTTTCATGGCGCTGCCGTGAAAGTTCCACACGGCTATGGTCCTCTTGCCCACGATAGGAAAAGAGGAAAGCGTCAGTTTTGTTTGATCTGGCATCCACCACGAGCTTCATGCTGTGGGGGCCCACCTCACGGCGATGCACTGGGCCGCCGGCAACGTACATGGAAGCTACTGCCTGGGCGCTCCGGCCGTCCCCGTTCGGATTTTCTGCGGGCATCGCGTTGAACTTTACTCGGCCGATGGGCGATGGCTAATCGTCGTCGCTATACATTTGCGCATGACATCACCTCTGAAAACCGTTTCAACTAGTACTACCATGAGGCATAAATTAATTTTGAAAAAAAAAATCAAGAGGCATAATAAAGTAATGCTGCTACTATGGGTGCTGCCAAACACCACCAGGATTGGGACGAGCTACTCCCGAATAAAATAAGCCGGGCGGGAGACGGCAAAGGAATCTGCTTTGCTGGTTCGATCCAATCTCCCCGCAATACTCTCTCCAAAGAAAGATTCAAAGCTCGATCCGTTCCAGCTTTGATTTCCTGTCTACTCCCCTCATAGTTCGATCCATTCCCGCTTTAATTTCCTGTCTATTCCCTATCGGTGGCAGCTGGGTAGCTGGCAGGTGAAGACGACCAAGCATCGTGCGGTACTGCGGTGCCTCCTATTGCTTGCAATCGCTGTGGCGCTGTCTCTGCGGAATCGGAATCGCTAAAGCAAACAAACAGCTGTCGCACGAGTGCGAATTCTGCGTCTGCGTGTCCATGAGTGAAGCGATTAACCAGGCGTTCAGCTAAGGATTATCATCCATTAACGGATTAACCGGCGATGACGAGAAGTGGTACGGACTAATCGTCTGGCACAGTTCTTGCGTAGAGCAGAAACAAAAGACGAAAGACGTATGGTATGAAGACGCGCGCGTACCTTGGTCGTCGTCTTCCTCGGGGGCCTCGAAGTCGAAGACCCACTGCGGCGAGGAGTCGGCCTGCCACCGCAGCAGCAGCAGGACGGCGGGGACGGTCAGCAGGCAGAGCAGCAGCCCGGCGCGCACGGACGCGCGCCAGAGCCTGCTGCCCCCGCGCCTCGCCTCCTTCAGCTGCTCCGCGGCGTGGTGGGCCGGCGGCGGCGGCGTCCCGGGCGCCCGCTGCTGCGTCTCCAGCACGCCGCGGAGGGGTAGCCGCTCCTCGTCGCCCCCGCTCCCGTAGCTGTTGCTTGGCCTCCCCATCACCATGAGCTAAGCGACCGTCCCCGTACGCGCCTCATATATGAGTATGCTCGCTGGCTCCGTCGGTCCTCGGCCTTGCGCCTTTGCGCTTTCGCCTAGTCGGAGACGGAGTGGTCAAAGTAGTACAGCCGTCCACCGCGTGGAGGTTTTGCAGGACTTCCATGGTTGGACATAAACGGCCCTCGACGGCCCAAGAGCCCAAGACGTGGGTTCGGTGTGTGTGGCGTCATACGGTTTGATTGATGGTATGGATCACGGAACACAACTATCGAGTTCACGTGGCAAACTTGGAAAGAAATCTTTATCTCACATGGTGGTATAATAGTATATTCGAAGTTTTTTTAGGAAGTATATTGGAATTTTTTTAATAAATGCAATATACATATAGCGTAGTAAGTATAAGAGCAACTCTGAAGAAGTACTCCCTCCTCGTCAAAATAATTTGCACTTGGATTTTGTTGGAAAGATTGATACTAGAAAACTCACGTATGTATCCCTATCATCAAGAGTTGTTCAAAGTGTAATAATTATATTCTGGAAATAGAAAAGGTAGTAAATGCTACTAGAGCTAGGTTAGATTGATGTGTATTTACTTTGGATTTATTTTAAGTCTCAGCAGGAGTTTTATATCATTTTTTTTTCCAAAACTGATAGATCATACTCCATCCGTCCCATTAAAAATGTCGTTTTTAACTTTCTAGACTTCTTATTTCACCGTTTGTCTTGTTCAAATTTTTTATACAAATAATAAAATAAATAAATCATTATTAAAGTATATCTAATGATAAAATAAGTCATAACAAAATAAACAATATTTATAAAAAAATTGAATAAGACAAACGGTTAAACAAGAAGTCTAAAACTAAAAAACAACACTTTTAATGGAAACGGAGGGATTATATAATAAGATGAAATACGGATGAAATACTTGCTTTTAATATAAAGTTTCATTCTATAGTTTTATAGGCATTTAATTTCTCGAATCATTGGCACTATAAATGATGTGTCATAGTGAGCTTCACTCTCGGTCTGGCTCAGTGGATATATGATGAGGGTGACGGACCCACACGTCAGCCTCACATGCTAGATATACTCAATCCGCTCATGCAGATAACCAAATAGTATCATAGTTTTTTTACATCCACACATGCAGCCTCATTAAAACATTTTTTTCTAAAATATGGTTCCACTTAGCTTGTGTTCACTTAGTCGGACACACGATGCAATTCCAATCCAACAACCAAAGTGATCGACTAGGTGAGGGCTCTGGTCCTGGTTGTCGACGAGGCGCTATGCGCAACTAGAAAACCCCCCGAAGACATGCTAACGTGTCTTCCTCTCGAAGTTCGATTTGAGCTACGCATAGTTTACATTCGAGTTTAGTATGTATTTGCCGAATATCTACAAATTTAGAGATAATTTGCTTGAACGTCTTAAAAATTGTAGGCAATCCACAAATTTGTTGAATATCCATAAAAGTGTGGATACTCCACGCAGATGCATCGATTTTTTTTCTCAAATACATAAAAGATTTGTGTATCATTGTATTAAGGAGAAAAGTTTAAAGAAACATACAACACGCTTCTATCGAGCGCCGAAGGAGGTCGACCTAACACAGCCAAAGCTGGACCATCCTAGCAAAAGACCTCATGTTTCGATATTACATAAAAGGAAACAACCAATATCGACGCAGCTTTATGGCCTAGGTGGCCTTGCGCTTCTTTTTTGGTCAGATTCGACGGTGCATTTCAACAGCCAGAAGAGCTCTCGTCCACGCCTTCGGCCCTAGACCCTTGATCGAGTTGTCGTCGAAGAGCCTGTCAAAGGTCTCCAACTCCGAAGCAGATGGCGTAGATGGACCCCTGGTGTAGCGCATACGCTGCATGATCAGCACCTCACCTCGCTTGGAAGCTAGCACTCGGGAGAGGCTCTGAGCCACCAACCGCCTGCTCCGCCACGACAGTACCAGCTTAGTAGGAGGCCGCTTGGGAGGCTCGCGAATCAGCGGAGAGTCCCTCTTACACATGACATTGTTGATGAAGCTGTCGAGGCATCGTTTGGCGGAGCCGTCGTTGTCCACAGGCTGGTGGGTAACCCCTGGCGGTGAACTGGAAGGGCCATCCACTGTGAGGTCGACCGCGTGTGTCTTCGGCGAGTCTACTGCCCACTGAATGGGGCGTGAGGGTGGTGTCCGCAGCACACAGGAGGCTACCGCATCCTCCAGCTGGGGGCCGCCATCGCCGGTGCCTCCTCCAGAAGCTGGGGGGTCGCCGAAGTTGACGGGAGGTGCTCAAGGGAAGGCCACGCGACGATCTGACCACCGACGAGCGAGGCTGCGAACTCCTCAGCCATCGGGTCCTTCGAGATGTCGTGATCCTGCGTGGCTCCTGGGAACAACGTGAGCGTCAACGGGTCGGGTTCAACCATGCCCGTCGCGTTGGTCAGCCCACCGTGCCTTGCCTCAGCTCCAGCAGCGACCGAGGTGAAGTCCGATGCCGTTTGGGCGGCCCCTATCGATCGCCCGTGACTGTCGGTGGCGACACTCGTTGACGACACTCGCTGACGCAGTGTCGTCCCCCTTCGATCGGCGCCGCGCCGACGTCTCCGACGCCCGCCGCCGTCGCCCGCCATCACCGCTACGCCTAAGAAAGCAAGATGGTCGCACTCGGCACAAAGAATCGCCGCACCGGCACAGCCCCCCCAACCGTGCTCAACGTGTCGCCGAGAAGTATCGACCGGGTTGCCCAAGATACGCTCCGGGCAGGCATCGCGCCGCCTTCCTTACAGGGCACTAATCAGGCGATCCGGAAGGCACCTTCCGTCAGCCATACTGACAAGCGCGCGTGGTGTCGGAACCCCTTGCATCGGAGGCGGAGGTGGAGGCAGCTTGCAAGTTGCCACCCTCGCGCGCGGTGGAGAGAAACAGTTGAAGCACTTCCAAAAGAATGCGTGGATCCACCGGATAGCGGGTAGGGGGGGCCGCTAGTTCGCCCGATGCAAAGGCGGGCGGGGCGTGCCTCTCCGGCAACGCTTTAACGACCCTCGCGACAAGACCTCTCTCGCCACCGCCGCTGGCCCCGGAGCGGAGATGCGCTGGCGGGTGGAGCCCGTCATGACGTCCGAGGCGCTGTCGGGTGAGGACACGGGCCATCCACGGGCGGCGGCAGTGTAGCTGCCGGCACCACCGGGCGCGGCGGTTGGCGTGGGCGTCCTCGTCCCGCGGTGCATCGCCATCACGCGCACCAAAGCACCAACAACACTGTGCACCTCCCGGTTCATCGCATGTTCTCCTCCACTGGCTGATCGCGCCTTGGTTGTCGCCTTTGGTGGTTTCTCGTTAGAGGGGGCGCCTCAACTGAGGCCTTCGGGCCGCCAATAGAAGGCGCTCAGCAAGCGCTTGCTGCGAAAGTGAGGCGCGGGCTTGGCACGCCTAGCAAAGGGCGACGTCCCCGAGCTATGCTACCTGGAGGATCGTGGTCGAGGTAGGAGGTTGGGGAGGTGACCGGCGACCTCTCCGTGTCAGAGTCATCAAGGTCCTCATCTGCCTAACGACGAGCCTTGGGACGCCCCATCGATCCGTCCCCAGGGTGGAAGGGGGAGGCGAGGGGGACAGAGAGGACAACGGGCTGGGCGCGGAGGGGTGCATGAGGAAGATGTCGAGCCCCAACGCCGGATAAGGCCGCTGTGGCGAACTAGGCGCCGAGGCATCCTCGTCATCCGAGACGTCCTCGACGAGAACCAGCGACTCATCCTCCACCAGCAGCAATTCGGGTTGGCCGGTGGCTGCGCCTGGAGGCGATGGGGGGCCGCGCGCAGAGACGGCTCCCCCGCAGGGCTGCGGGGAGCTCGTGTCGACGGTGACTGCCCCTATTGGCGGAGGGGGCATGGGTGGCGCCGTCAGCTTTGTAGAGGAAGGAGCGGGCTCCACAGCGACGTTAGCGTGGCGCCTCCCGCCCGCTGAATGGCCGAGTGCTCGCACCGCCCAGCCCCTGACCTCGGCCTCAGCGTTGCCGATCACGGCGGTGATGGCCACGGCAGCAGCAGCCTCCAACGGCGTCGAAGGGGCGGAGTGGGTGGGGTGACGTTGGATCGGGCCCCCTAGCGAGGCTGCGCGGATCCCGCTGGCTCGGCACCGGCGGGGGAACCTATTTGGGCCGGCACGGCGTCCGGCGCAGGTGGCGGATCCTCCACGCACAGCCTTGGGCGGCCGCGGCTGGCTCCGACGGTGGAGATGCACCAGTGCCGCATCCCACGGGGGCGGGCTCGATGCTGGCGCCACGGCCGTGGGGCCCGGCGTCATCGGCAGCGGACAGGGTGGTGGCGTAGCCTGGCCTCAGTGGTGGCGTGGAGGACCGTGTAGAGACTGGAGTGCCGGTTCCCGCGGGGACACCCACCAAGCTGCTGCTGATGGCAGTGGCGGTCGCAGCGGCTGCTTCCGGCGTCGGTGTCGGCGGCGGCGCAGGTGGCCGCGGAGGGGGCGCTGGAGCACCAGAGCCCATGGATCCCACATGGGCGGCCTCGACGCCGGTGGTGGCTGCTGCAGTGGGGCCCGGCATCATCGTCGGCGTGGACGGAGCAGCGGCGGAGCCCAACCTCGACGGCAGCGGTTGTGTGGAGGGCCGTGGAGGGGCCGAAGCGCCAGATCCAGCGGGGACGGCCTCGGGTCCGCCGCCAAGCTTCCGCACAGGCGGCCATGGATCCCGCGGAGGCGCCAGGGTGCCAGATCCTGCGACATCTGTGGTGGGGAGGGTAGGGGAGGTGTAGGGGGAGGAGGAGGGGGAGGGGGAGCGGAGGGGAGGGCGGGGGGCGCCAGCACCTGGGAGGCGGCCGGCGCCGCCGGCAGCGGCGGGTGGGAGGCCGTCAGGTCGGGGCTCTCGAAGGGTTCCCCATCCTCATCCGATTACACCATTCTCTCTGCTGGTCCGAGGTTCCGCAGATGCATCAATGATCCGCAAAGTTGTAAATAATTTGTTTTTAATTGATCTGATGCAAGTTCGTTGTTTTTTTTAGTCTATCTTCTATATATCACCCTCTCTATATGCGGCATCTCAATCTTTTCAATAGCACTTTATGTGACAACCGATAAGATTGGTGAGGTACTTGTCCTAAGCGTGAACGATGGGTGCTAGGCGAAAACGAAGGGTCCATAAGCCGTTGGATGCTTCTGCCATCACTAAGCATGTAGATTCCTAGACAACAGAACCAGCAAGGAGTGCACAAGGAGAGGGCGAAAAGGAGGATCCAATTGCCCCTTGGGAGGAAACGTGGTGCTCGGAGGCATCTTAGTTAGTTAGCCGATACAAAGCTGGGCAAGGCCACCAGCACCAACCGGGCACACGATAGCATGGTCGCGGCCACCCACCCACAACAGCAGCAAACCTTTCAGAGGCTTTGACTTTTTCATTTGGAGTTTAATTAGGCCGAATCTGGTGGCTGTAAGGATGTGTCCATGATCATATATTTTAGCAGTCCAGCCAGTAACAAGTGCTGAGGCATTGTGCAAGTCATCGAGCTGGATAGTCTGGCAAAGTGAACGAACGGAAAAACAGTGCCAGCAAAACTATATCTAAACGCTCTCTTTACACATGGTCAACGGCAAGAATTTGGCCTGCAAGTGTTGACCTGTATCCAAACGGGTCCTTTTATCGGCAAAAATCAAACACGCTTATAAAACTCCTTTTAGGCGCCCTATCTCTAGTCTAGTGATAAGTTTGTTCTTTTGACAGCAAACCACGAAAACACACGAAGCATGCATTTATTTACACAAACTGCACTAAACGCTAAGGCTTAAGGGAACAACTTGAGACCTTTGTGCTCGTCCTCACAGTGCCGGGCATAAGGCACTAGAGCTCCAATGTCAGTCCCCTCTGCTACTCCGCACATTTGTCGCGGCAGCGCCTGAAGACAGGGCTCGACCGTCTTTGATTGAACGCACGCCGGATCAGCATGTTTTCGGGGACGGTGGCCGCAGCAGCACCCAGGGATGCACGCCGGCGAGCCCGTGCGCGATGTACCCGAACGTCGACACCGCGCTCGTTACGATGCGATCGCAGAAACTCAGCAGATATATCTCCGCCAGGGCCCTCTGGTTGTGGCCGCGCGCCTCCGTGCGCTGCTCCCTCTCGTGGCTCGGTTGGTGCACCTCCACGTACTCCCCGGTTTCCGTCGGGTTCGCGTAGTACACGCCCTGGATGCGCTCGTAGTAGTCGGAGAAGAGCGACGTCACCAGTACCGAGGTGACTTTCGTCCTACTACTCTCCGGCGCCACGGCCGGCGAGGAGTGGTTCGCCTCGCCGTCCTTCCGCACGACCTTCGGCAGTAAGCCCTCTTGCTCCGAGCACCGGACAATCTGGCCGTACATGTTGTCGAACTGCACGGGCATCTCCGGGAAGACGCGCACCTGGAGGCCGACGCGCTCGTCGGCCCTGGCAAGGTAGGCCTCGTAGTACCTGCGCACGATGCCCCACACGTCGTTGGACGGGTGGAAGAGGTACCGGGCGAGGTGGTGGAACACGGCCTCCTTCTCCGGGAACAGCCGCTGGAGCTCGCGCTCGTAGGCCGGCATGAGGAAGAACATGGCCGCGAAGTACACGTCGGACTTGATCACCATCCAGTTGAACTTGGCGAGCACGAGCTGGTCGGCCTCGCAGAAGGCGGCGTCGGTGAACGACTGGATGAGATCCAGAAACACGTACGCGGGCAGCCTCTCGGCGGAGACGTTGCGGTGGTCACCGCTTACGGCCCCCGCGTGGCGCATGTTCTTGTAGCTCGTCGGCGACCACATGGTGAAAGTGCCGGCGAAGTCGGTGATCGGGAAGTCGGCAGGGATCGTCCAGGAGCTGCCGGGGAAGGGCTCGCAGAAGAGGCCGTCGAATTCCTGCGGCGCGTGCACGAGCAGGACGCGGTCGGTGAGGAGCGCGTACAGGAACGTGGAGCCGAGCGAGAGCATGCGGTTGCCCAGGCCGTTGAACGGCGTCCACACGACGTACTGGCACTCGGAGCGCGCGGCGTTGCGGCCGGACCGCAGGTGCTCGACGGCTTCCTTGAAGAGAGGCCCGCTGGGTCCGCACCGCCTGTGCCGGGCCTCGTACCGCCTGAGGCGCTCCACGAGGTACGTGGATGGGCGGAACGGTGACGGACGGCGGTAGTGAGGCGACGCGTACCGGGAACGGCACGACTGCTCGTCGAAGGCCGGCGAGAGGAGCCCGCCAATGAAGTGGTCTTGGTCGTGCCGAATCGGCGGCGCGTGCTCGGCGTTCAATCCTGCAGCCTCTGCATCATCAGCATGGACACGCGACGCTGCGGAAACTGCACCGGTACAGATGATAATGATTAGTGTCGCGCAAAAAGAAAACTGCATGATGGTAGTAGTATTATTTGAACGGCTTACGCTACAGAAATGGGCTGATCTAAAAAAGCCTACAAAATGTGCTCATTCCGTAAATGCACGTACAAGATTACAGCTCATGCAGCACAAGTGCACAACGTTGGTGGTTCAAAGACGCCAGGATCTTAACTTTTATACGGATACGAATTGTGAGCTGTACTCCCATGCGGCAGCGGTTCCTTTTCAAAAATTATTTTCTTTAGAAAATAGATTAAAAATTCCGATTAAAAATAATAATGCCACATCAATTTTATTTCACTCTATCAAACAAACTGCTAACTTCTGTCCATCCATCTTTGTGCAAAAGCAGAACAACGTTATAATTAGAGAGTTCAATATACTGCCAATGCCAACAAGGAGAGCATTTCGTATTCCACTCGTCCCCGAAGGTCTAGAAACAAATTTGGACGCACGGATACTGAAATATTACTACCTTGGTCCTAAAATGTACAAGATTTTGAGTTGTTCTAAATTAAATTGTTTTTAAGTTTAACCTAATTTATAGAAAAAAAAACACAATATTGTTAACATGTCAAATTAGGTCTATTTGGCCTAGTTCCGACTCCAGCAGAAACTTCGGTCCAGGAGCTGAACCAAATACTTTAGAGGCGTAGCCGTTTTTAGTGATAGATGAGTCTGAGCTGTTTTAGGGTTTGGAGAACGAGCTGTAATTTGTAACTCATCCTCAAGTGCCCTGACTCCTTCGAAAGAGCGCTTTGAGAGGAGTCGTACCAAGTATCAATTGACTACCACAGGCATTGAGATTTTAAAGGTGAAACCTTTTCTATGCAAGACAGGTGACAATAGTGTCAATAGCGTCGTGTTCTTACCTAGAAGCGTCGTCTTGGAAGATCACATGCTTCGTCCGAAGGTCTAATGTGGGTTGTTACTTTATTGTTCAGAAGGAGAAGAGATGCTCCAATTTGATGGGACCTTTTTGAGAGAAGATGCCCAATTACCACTCAAGGGAATGTTGGTCTTCTAGTGTATGGTATTTGTTATAGTTTGTGTTTGATAGTTATTTGTTACCTATTTATTAGCTGAGGACAGTTGGACTTCGAAGATATGTAAGATGCTTTAGATGCACTATTCACCACCTTCTTTTGTAGGAAGCATAGTGGAGTTTCATGGGCTTTGACCATTTCGCTTCATAGTACTCCCTCCATTCCAAATTGTGAGTCGTCCTAACTTTTCTAGATACACACCTTTAATCATGTACCTAAAAAAACTAAAATGACTTTTAGTTTGGAATAGAGAGATTACAAGGGAATAGAGTAATCGCGTCAAGCTTTTCTCTATGCCTGGAAAGCATGTTGAACGGTGGTTTTCAGTTGTATTTTGAATCTGAAATTTTATGTTGCTTTAATCATATTAGATATTCTTCTTCCATCTTTATTTTCTTATTTCGCCCCGTTCGCGTGCCCTTAAACCCGACTTGATCCGCTTCTTTTTTCATCCGGAACAGTATTTTCCTCTCACAAATTCCTCCAAACCATCCAAATTCCTCCACAACCATACTAGCCGAACACCCCCATAATAGTTGTGTGTATTGTCTTTACGAACTCTAATTTAAATAAAGTTTTCTTTGTCTAAAAGAAATCAAATTAGTATTATTAGATACAAATGAAATAAATCTCATAATTATGCTAATATTCTTCTCTATGCAGAAAGAGAAGAGAATGTTGACTCAAAGGTACTGTAGCTACCTATAAGACGGGTAGGGAAGGAGGTTGTCATGATGGTGATCAAGAGTATGTAATACGTATCTATATATTATACACGAAAGAGAAGCCACGAAATCGTGATGGATCACTGGATTTGTTGCATTCGATTTGTCTCATTTGTCAAACAGTTGGATTGCCATGTTGCTGTCGGAAATTACTTCCATGTGATGATCCTTTACCGTAATGTCATTTGTGCTAGTTCCAACATATGCGTGTGTCACGCACTACATGAGGAACGAACATGCTCATCGGGTTAGCATGGTTACCTGGCTTTTGGACGAACTCAGTAGTCTTCGGCGGCGTGAACGCCGACAAGCTTCCGCCGCCGCCGCCGACGCCGAGCAACAGAACGAGCAAGGTTAAGATGCCCAAGCACCCGACGAAGACCACCTCCGCCCGGCCCAGCGCGCGCCACCCACGCCACCGCCACTCCTTGTAGCATCCGTCCGCATTCCTCCCGGCGCCGAGCTCCGCGACGCCGATCGCCACTTTGTGCGCTCCCCGCGGCGTTCGCGCCCTCGCCGCCTCCATCGCCGCACGGCCCGCACCAGCTCTATCTTGGACGGGCACGCTTCCCGCCTCGCTGACCTAACAAGCATATACTACCACGTTATAATGATCGTATTCGGATATGCAGAAAGCATCACGTTTTCTCAAGCCATTGTTAACAGTACCTTCCAGAGTCCAGACGCCATGCTGCAGTCAACGACTTCGCGTCATGTCTGCATGATGCAGCGATCCGCCCGCCAGCAAGGTAAGCACGGACGCGAGAGCTGACGGACCGTCTATATACAACACACATGACACAACTAGGGGAACGCTTGCTTGGCCAGCCTCACGGTGTTGCTTCTGTGACGCGCGTTTCGTCGCCTCCGCTCCCCGGTCCCGGCCGGCGCGACTAGGCATGTGACAGTGACATGAACACAAGTACTGTATATACGCAACGCGCCGGGGATCCGTTGCACATGGATACTCCCAACTGGTGACGCATGGCAGTATACAAGTATACATGGACACCTGGCATTCCCCGTTGAGTTGCCGTTAATTCCTATACGCATGCCGTGGGCGCAGAGGAAACTGGAAGCGGTCGGGCAGGTCGCTGGTGGAACGCATGAACCTCCACGGAACGGGATCAATAAATAACTGTATGTTATATACTGTCGTCAACAATTTGCACTCCAGCGAGTATCTGTATGACAATGAAATTCAGGTAGGAGGAAGCGTCTCTAGCCGTCTATGTAGTGTATATACGCGATTTGTTTTCTCAAGAACGAATTTGAATACAGTGCTGAAAGCCATTTCTGTAACTTTAATGGCACTTGTACAGGACTACAGGTAGGTACTGTACGTACCGTGTAATAAACGAATCTCGAAATGCCTAAAATTACTCCACAGGCCAGGTACGCAGTTCATCAGAAAGAGGAATTGGATCGTCGAGCTCGCTGTCCGTCCACTCAGAGTTAGCTGTCGAACAACTTGAGGCCGAAGCCGACGTCCTCGCAGTGCCGGACGTACGGCTTGACGGCGGCCACATCGACGTCCCTCTTGGCCCTGCACCCGAGGATCGGCGGCGAGTGCAGGCACGGCTCCACGGACGTGGACCGGACGCACGCGACGTCGGAGGTCTCCCTGTTCCAGTCCGGCCGGAGCAGGATCCACGGCTTCACGCCGGCGAAGCTGTACGCGACGTAGCCGAAGGTGGACCAGGCGCTCATCGTGATCTTGTCGCAGTAGCTGAGCAGGTAGATCTCCGCCAGCGCCTTCTGGTTGTGCTCGTTCGACGTGTACTGCTGCTGCTCCTCGTGGCTGGGCTGGAACACCGCCACGATCTCCCCGCTCTTGGTGGGGCTCTCGTAGTACATGCCGCGGATCTTCTCGTAGTACCCCGAGTAGAGCGACGCGATCAGCACCGCCTTCACCTTCCCGTTCCCGGCGTCAGCGGTCGCGGTCGCGTTCGTCGTCGTCGTCTCGGCGGTACCGAGCTCCGGCAGCAGCCGCTGCTCCCTGATGCACCGCATCAGCTGGTCGTACATGTTCTCAAACTTGATCGGCTTCTCCGGGAAGATCCGGATCTGGAACCCGATCTTCTCGTCCACTCTGGCAAGGTACGCCTCGTAGTATCTCCTGATGATCCCCCAGACTCGGTTCGTCGGGTGGAAGAGGTACCGCCCCAGGTGATGGAACACGGCCTCCTTCTGCGGGAACATCCTAGCGAGCTCCGCCTCGAACATCGGCGTCAGGAACAGCGCCGGCGCGAAGTAGCTGTCGGACTTGAGGATCATCCAGTTGAACTTGCCGAGCATCGCCTGGTCCTCGTCGCAGAAGACGTTGTCCGACAGCTTCAGCTGGAACTGCTCCACGTGGAGGTACACGTACGCAGGCAGCGACGACGCCGGCACGCTGGCGGGGTCGACGTCGTTGCGGACGACGTTGCTCTTGAGCATGTTGGCGTAGCTCTCCGGCGCGCCGATGTGGAGCTTGTGCGGGTTGTTCTGCGGGAAGTTGCGCGGGAGCACCCACGAGCTGCCCGGGAACGGCTCGCAGAAGAGGCCCTCCTGCTCCGCCGAGACGTGCATCAGGAGCACCCGGTCGGTGAGCAGCGCGTACAGGAAGGTGGACGCGATGGTGAGCATGCGGTTGCCCAGGCCGTTGCAGGGGAACCACACCACGTACTTGCACTCCGAGTCGTCGGCGTTGCGCCCGGCCTTGAGCTGCTTGACGGCCCGCCGGTAGCGCTTCGTCCCCGGGCCGCACTTCTTGTGGTACGCCTCGTACTTCCTCAGCTTCTGCGCCAGGTAGGGGGAGAGCGGGAAAGGGGATGGCTTCCGGTACAGGTTCGATTTGTAGCGGCTCTGGCACGAGGATTCGTCGAATGCCGCGGACAGTAATCCGCCCAGAAGCTTATCCTGGGACACAGATGTTGCCGTCGATGCAGAGACGTTTTTCAGAGGAACAGGTTCTGCAGAGAAGATTTTAAAGTGAATGAATGAGTTATCAGAGATGAGTTGAAAAATGCAGGAAAAATGGAAATTCATTGCGAACATGTGTAAATTGAAGATTTTGGCCCAATGTGAGGCTGACAAGTGGGTCTTGGGGGCTACATGCTATCACTTTTTTTTAAACTCTGATAATTTCCTTTTTGCAACCAACTTTGATAATCTCTATGACGGTATATGGACTAATAAAAGGGTACAAAAAAATTAGCATACGCAGCAGCACGGATTCTGGAAAATTTAACTGGTAATTTCTCTATTTGAATGTCTATATACGGTGTTGTCTTATGATCAATCATTTCATTGTTCACAACCACATAAGAAAGACCCACATATCTTTCTTTTCATGAAAGCAATTGGCTAGATGCTTTTCTTATTGTGGACAGAAACAGAGCCATCGAGCTTATAGTCAACAAGAAATGAGACTTGAGAACAAAGCCAAAACCATTCACTTCGAATATAATAAAGAGTGCATCGTCGTTGCAAACTAAAGGCCCTAACATCTTTTTCAAGGGTAGCTCAGCTAGTTGGGTTGATGGAGCTCGATTTGACATGCATGATCATATATTTTTTAATTTATTCTAAGGTTTAATAACATTTTTTAGTGGCAGTCAACATGCTTGTTGACAACAAACGCCTATAGAAACAAGATCGGTTGGCTCAGTCATTTATAGGTGATTATAAGGGAAGGATATATCTACGTATTGCGACTAGTAAAAGAGGAGAGAGAGAAAAAGAAGCAGTCAAGTCCCATGCTCAACTAAATATGGCAGCAAAAAAAAAAAACGTCTCCTTCTCAACTAAATATGGTAGCAACAAAATACGGCAGACAATGAAGTGCAATTCATCACTTCCTAACAGTGGGCTTATTTGGACTTGGAAAGTAATTAGGTCCTGTTTGGATGCAAAATATTTTGAAGTATTGAAGAAGTACTATGGTTTTACAAAATACTTTGATTTTTAAAAGCTATTAGTTATTTGGATGCAACAAATCTTATAGTAGAAACTCCACTCATGACCTCTTTTTCTAAACAACAGTGTTTGTTTGGCTTATAAAATACTACAGTTTTTGAAAACTGCATTATCCAAACAGACCCTTAGTATTTTTCTTTAAAAAACAGTACATTGCCATAATAAGATTGTCTGGGACCAATACTAGGGTATCCGAAGAGGAGGAACTAATGGTTATCAACATTGATTCATCCGAGCAGTCAAGAGCGCGACTACAGCTCCAACCGACCCTAGGTGCGCGGGCTCTGTAACGTCCTGCCTCCTTGAGGCCAGACCCGCTTACATTTGATAGATTTCCTAGGACATAGGATTGCCCTCACAGACCAACACCAGTCTTTTCTGCGCACTTTTGTCCTCACTCATGCGCCCCCGGGAAGAACTTCCCGGTCGGTCACCCATCGCTCCAGGCCAAGCACGCTTAACCTTGGAGTTCTTAAGAGATAAGCTTCCAGAAAAAAAGTTGCAACTTGTTGGTACGAATATCCTATTAATCCTATTAAGCTCTGGGCCGGGGTGTTACAGGCTCCGCCTTGCCCGACCTCTGGGTCGGGGGCTACGTCTCGCCCGACCCCTCAGGCGCAGCTCCTGACGGAAGCCCATACCACCGCCAACCACTACGAGCCAGAAGTACAATCCAAGATCAAACTTCTGGCATCGTGCAGGGAGCGGGCACATCTCAACATGACCCGTGCCCGCGACATGTCACTCCAGGGAACTCATATCACCAACAGTGACGGACGCGTGGTCACTATGCTGCCTACTTTCTGTACGGCCGCTGACCAGCACGCTGGTTCGCCGCGGCGCCCGCCGGGACGGAATGGGACGTCACGACCCGCTGAGAACGCCGGGGCGTGGCATCAGCGGCGAATAGGCGCCACGCGTGGAGCCGTCCCTGTCACCGTCTGCAGTGTCGGCGGGACCCGCATAAAGGAGAAGAAAGGTCCGGCGGTCCGGGAAGCCTTCCTCTCCTTGGCTCTTCTCTCTCTTTTTCTCTGTGTAACATGCTCTTCCCCTTCGTCTATAAAAAGAGAAGCAGGACGCCCCAGGAGGGAGGACGGCAGTTCACCACTCTACACGCCTGTAGACATCAAAACACACGCCCTAACACGCTTTAGGAGCACACGCACATCAGAGACTTGGGACATGTCCCTCGCTCGCTCGTTTGTAACCCCTCTACTACAAACTTTCAGTGCTAGTAACACGAGCAGCAGCGACGAACTAGACGTAGGGACTTTTCTGTCCGAACCAGTATAAACCTTGTGTCCTCTAAGCACATTATCCGAGCCAGACGCGTAATACTAAAAATTTAGAGCTAACTCCAACCGAACTCTTACTTGAGCCCTCATCTTATTTTGAGAGTTCAAACACATCAAAAATATTTCCAACCGAACCCCTATTCAAGCCCTGATGGATGAGGGACTCTCATTTCTCTCTCCTAAACCCCCAGATGTAGGAGTTCCTCATCCTGCTTTCTCTCTTCCATAAAGCTGACAAGTGGGACCAATAAACAGGGTCCATGATAATACAGTGTAAAAGTAGGGAAAATTTAGGAGATCGGTTGGAGTACCCTGAGGAGTAAGGGATGAAATATGGATGCGGGACTCATTTGCAGGAAAATGGGGCAAAATTTGAGAGATTGGTTAGAGTTGCTCTTACTAGTCGGTAAAACGAAACACCGACGAAGGTCTTGGTTAAGGCTACTTTAAGAATAACAGTTTGGTCTCCTAAAGCCAGGGACCACTCAAGCAAAAACCTAGGCCCGTCTAGAAGAGAGAACACTGAACACACACCCGGCATTTACGCAGAAGTCTTTGGAAGGAACTGTGGTGAGTGATGAGGCAGGACAAGATCCGGGCAGTGATGCATCATGCGCCGGCGTGATGGCATCACGACGCCTCCCACACGCTGAGTCGCTGACACAACAAACAGGATCGCCTCTGTACATGTCCACAAACTCACTGTTGCAGTGTTGCTGCACGCAGCAAGTCGGATCTGAATTTTCGATCCTGGCCCAAATAAAACTGCTCGTTCATGAAGTAGCAGATCAGCCATCCGATCACAACTCCGGACGCAGAATTCATGTGATCTGATTCATGTGCGGTGTGCTCCGCCATGGCCAAATTGGCCATAATGCCAGCGTACCATACAAAGTACCACGAACGAATCAACGATGACGTCTTCTAGAATCGGACGCTGAGCTACCTCCTGACAAAACGCCAATTCGCGGTTGGCCATTGACGAACAGAGAGGCGGGGAGAATTGCATACGACAGCGTCTCCCCGTTCATAGGCCAACGGCCAACCCCGTCTGAGAATCCGGGGCGGGAAACGCGAGAATTCCCAGTTCCCACGCACGGGCGCACGGCCTCCGGTCAACGAGTTAACGTGCGACGTGATCCCCGAAATTCACAGGCCAAAACGGAGTGCAGAGGACAGGACGCAGGAAGCTTACTTTGGCCCTGAGGCGTCGCGCCGCGGTCGCCGGCGTCCACGTGGCGCCCGACGGCGGGCTTGGAGACGACGGGCGGAGAGGAGGTAGCAGACGACGACGACGAGGACGACGAAGGGAAGGAGCTGCTGCCCCAGCGGCCGCCGAAGACGAGGAAGAGGAGAGGCAGCGTGAGGAGGAAGCCGACGAGCACCATCTCAGGGCGGACGCCGGAGCCGCGCCACCCGCCGGCACGCTTCTTGTCGTCCTCGGCCGGAGCCCGAGGGCTCCGTGACCGCTTCACGTGCATCTCCCCCTCTCCCTCTCCCTCTGCTCAGCTGCTGCCTCTTGTTATGCTAATTGTATAAAAGCTCTCGTTTTGATCCGTGTGTCGACGGCTTTCTTGTGCCGGCTTCTCTCCTCCTCCTTGGAGTTGAGGCTTGGAGCTGGTCAACTGGAATGGAAGCTACGCGGGGGGCTGCTGACGCCGACGTGTGCCCGATCAACGATCATGCATCGGGAGCACTATTCCGTAACTCGTTGGATTCTGCAACGCACACCACTTATTCTATTCGCTAATTCGCATTTGCGTGTACTTAAACTGCTGTGTGTACTCGCGCGGGAGTTGTTAGCTAGGCTTGCTTATCGTTGAATTAGTTAGTTTGTGGGTCACTGTGATGGGAACGATCGAGGAACAATTTTCTATTGCTTCTGCCGATTCCATAGAAAAGTGTTTGCTCTTTCTAGCCTAACTGTAACTTTCTTGAAAGTTCATCTTTTGACTCTGTATTTTCTTCTGAAGCAACACATCTGAGTCGTCCCTGCTACAAACATGGGCGGTAACCGAGCTACCTATACTGAAATTCTTGTCAAGAAAGGTATGATATTTGGATCCTTCTTATTATTCATCTATTTATTTTTTTGGGAACATAGACACTACCTGAGTTGTACTAGAAAGCAGGAAATGTGCAGCACGATGCCGCATTTGGGACTCTGAACTCTGAAGGGAGGGCATATGTACACATGCTATGCTTCTGCAGGTTGCAGGGTCACAAGTCACAACTGTCAAATTGCCCGCACTGTCCTTTCTCCTTTGCAGGAATTGATAGCTCCATCTCCGTTCTCCGATCAAGGCCATGCTGCCAGGTGGCATGCGTGCGCTGGGATTTCTGCCTCCGCTACCCCCACTGCCCCCACATGGTTTTGGTAGCTTGTGATTGTGAATTTGTGACGTCCTGCACTAATCAGCCTGTTCGCTTTTTTGTTTAAGCACTTATCAGCCAGTCAACAGTGTTTTCCTCTCACAACGAACCAGCACTAATCAGGTTTATCAGCCCAGAAACCAACCAACGAATAGGCTTAATATCTCGTCACTAGTTTTTGTGAGATTGGATTCATCGGGACAGGACGGCTTCGCAAAGGACATGTGATTTGATTCTTCCATACAGGTCTACTTCGTTTTCATGGGCTGCTAAATTGCAGATCTGCTAGCATCGGCTCTATTATTGGAGCTTAGTCAATGGTGGTAGGTAGGTGGAGTGGACATCTGAATCCTTCAACGCCAACGAGCTGCGAAAATGACAGAATCAACCCTATTCTAGTGGTGCAGTACGTATGTATACTTCCTTTCAGCCATTCTTGAGAAAGTGACCATATTCGTGTGTGTGTATATACTTCTTGAATACTTCAACATCCTAAAGCTCGTCCGTCACCATCACCATCAGGGAGAAAGCCAAAGCTCAGGCCGCACATAGGCGACTTGTTGTGTAGGTGGGGCAGCTTGGCCTGGGGCTGAAGCTGAACTATGCATCGGTTAGTTGTGTCATTTTCACTCTGCGTGAGGTGTCCATCAGACGGCCATTGCACGATAAAAAATGCAGTACAGAAGTGCGGAGAGTGTCTCCAGAAGCTGAAGCTCCGTGATTTCTGCGCAGACAGGCTCGGCCTTCAGAGGAGGAGCGATCTCCCATCAACCTGCCATGTGTCCATGAGCCCATTTGATAACTGACAACATGCTAGCAAGCTGCTCGTATATGGCTTATAAGTCATGGCTTATCAATCAACGAACAGTATTTTTCTTTCACACCAAACCAGCCAACAGTACTTTTAGTTATGGCTTATAAGCCGAACCAGCCCAAACGAACAGGACGCTCACTCAGCTTGTTTCGAGGCAGTACACTTACCGCTCGCCGCTGAAGGATTTTTCCCGACGAATCCAAGGAACCATGTGCAATGGTCAGTGCTGCATCGCTACTTTCCTAACTTGCAGAGTATACACTAATGAAGAATGTCTTGTAGAACCAGAAGCCGTCAACATAAGCGCAACTACGCATAATTAGTTCAGCTTGTACGCGATCACGCACCATCAGATGCTGCTGCCGTGGTTTCATCATCGTGTCTGTCTCGTCGGTGAGCGAGCATAATTGCAAGGACGCGTTGCAACGCCGCCTGGACCTGGACCTGTCTGGCTACGGGGAGCTTGACAGGACCGCATCATGTCGCTGCACAAGTGCCGACTGCCCACATGGCTTGCCGCTTGGCGCCTGGCAACTTCCACTGTGTGCAGGACAGAGAGAACAGGTGAAGGGATGGGTCGCCCGTCGCCGCGCGCTGGAAGCACGGAGCCGTCAACCATGGGTGCATCAGTGCATGATGATTGATGAGTGCGTCACAGCATCAGTGCATGGGCAGGCGGAGCGCCGGAGGCGGAACCCTTGCCGCGCGGCAAGGCGATCGGGGAGCCAGGACCAGGAACCTCTGTGGCAGCGGGGTCGCCAAGACCACCCGGCGCCGCGGCGCGTGCTCGCAGGCCCAAAGGCTTAACCGCCTAGACAGCATCATGGTTTAAGAGCCCTTGTAAAAAGCCCAATATAAACATGAGATGATGGGATCGTGCGGGGGACATCTGTGGTGGCCCACTGCAGTATTGGGCCGTACCTGCACCTGTGTATGATGGGCGCCTTGTTTCCTCCATATTTTTTTTGACGCCTAGTATCTGCTCATGTACGTGTGCCCTGCACACCCACACCACACTTACACAAACAAACCTACAGTTACTCAGATCACTAGATTTGTGAGATCATCGGATCCATCCAGGCAACAGAATTTATTAGGGGCGAACCCCGATGAGAAAGGCAGGTGCGATTCCGGAAAATCGAACTCACGCCGGCTGCAGGCACACCGCATGCTAGCCACCAGAGGGCTGCTCAGTTCTCTTGTTTCTTAGTACTAGCTAGAACTAGCCCAACCGCTCGACCTTTCTTCCTCCTTCGTTCTCAACTGTAGTAGCGAAAAGGGAAACTCCCGATTCGGCTCATGCTTGCCGGTTCCTGTGCCTCCGGTGGCCTTCCGAGCTCCAATGGTCCAATTATAGATGCCTTCATATAATAAGTAGTTTTATGTAAGTTAGGGTTAGTTTTATCCATGACAGTGCAGGTGCTACATTCCCATAGGATTTCTGCTTCCTTCCTCTGCTTCTACGGTAAGGATGTGGCATCTATGGTCTTCTCCGACGAAGCAGTAGTGCAGTTGCTCATACTTCCTTAGAAGGGAAGGCTTCTTCTACCCATCTGGCGAGGTTGCCTTGTTCGTTCAGTGATCTCAATGCGTCTTGACTTTTCGGGTGCTACATGTTGTGGCTTCAAAAACTGTATTGGCAATGGTCGGTAAGTACACTTGCAACTCACTTGCACTGAAGTTGATTTTCTTCCTTAGAAGGGAAGGCACCTCCAACTACCGGACATCTGGCGATTTCAAAAGGTTTTCTATTTTCGAGAGGCTCGTTCGAAAGTTAAGAGGCTCAAAAAATAATATAAAAATAATATCTCAATGCGTCTTGACTTTTCGGGACCAAATTTGTCATAGTTGTGGTTACTTCAAAAGGTGTAAATTGAATTTCAAAGGCAAGTTGGAGGTTGGAAAGTGTATTTTACCCTTAATGGCCATACCTTGTCAGCTGAGGATGTCTTAGCTCTGGTTCTTTCGATCCAGTTTCGCGTTGGCGATCACAGAGGAAACAGGGTGTTCATGAATAGGACCTGTGATAGCATCAATGTAGTTTTTTTTTTATCAAGTTCCTTTATATAACTTAGTACTTGTTATGGGTATGAATGAATGAAATCACCCCTCCCAAAAAAAATTCCTCCATATTTCCCCATGTTTCTTCTGAGAAGAGGAATGAACGGAAGTTATGCTTTTGCCTTTTCGTATCCAGAAATGGAAATCTTACCACAGAGCTCCGACGCAACATTTGTAACGAGAGACGTTAGGGAAAAATTTAAAATTCTTACAATAATGAAAACACTTCCTTTTTCCCTGAAACACCCCCATCCCCCCCCCCCCACCCACACACACACACACATCTGTCATTCTAAAAATATGAATTAACGAACTAGCATCTATAAATTACTTTTCCTTCTCATTATGAAATACAATTTTAAATAATCCCTATAATTGCATATAAATTACCAATATATACCATTATGAAAGATACTTTAAAATAACCTTGTAAATGTGTTATTGTAAAAGATGATGCAAAGTAACCTGGAGTTGGTATCTAAATTATCAGAGGTACCACTGAAAAAATATAAAAGAACATCATTGATTTACGTCTAAATTACACACCTCTATCATTGTAAATGACAAACTAAAATATCCTCATTACACGCATAAAATATTAGTATACATTATTATGGAAGATAATTCAATAATCATAAAGTAGGATATATATTTCTAAATTACATCCCACTATTTCATTAAAGATTAAAGTCTGATTTGCCTCTTGAACTTGTTGCTAAATTTAAGAAACACTCTCGAACTCGTATATCAGACAACATACCCCTTAACTTCCAAAGCCAGACAATAATCAAGCCTCTAAAAGATCTCAAATAAAAAGAAATTATCAACTATAAATTGTAGATCGTGTCAATCTCTAAAATTTTGATATAAAGTTTGTATTCACCAGATTTCATAAAAAGTTATGGTTCTTCGTATATAAGAGAGAGACCACCTCATATGTGATCCCATTGTCACACTAGCAAAACCATCCAAGAAATTACTTTGAAATGGTAAAGGAATATTTTGTCCGGTTTTGAAAATTAAGGTATGCATGTTGTCTTTGTCCAGTATTAGAATTCATTTTTTTAGGCTCAGCAGTTAGTTTAGGGTTGGAAGAAACGAATGGTCAGGGCAGGGGGTGTTGAATTTGGCTCTAAAAATATAGATAACAAATCTTAGTCTATGTAAAGTCTAAACCCTAAAAAATGTTGTCCTAAGTGTTTCTATAAGGCAAATTAAAGAGTCCTTAGGGCCAGCAAGCTACACATGTCCTTAGAAAAGTTAACACTAAGGATAAGGTTCTTAGAGTGCGGAAAGTAAACCTATGCTAAATGCCTAAATACCTCTACCAAGCATCCTAGTTGTCACACAAAAAGACTTGCAATCATCAAACGTACAAGCAAGAAAATAAACGAGCAATGCAAGGAGACAATCGACTTTCCTCCCTATGGTTTTGGATTGATGCCACAACCTCCTAATCCACGTTGGAGCACCTAAGGGTGTGATTGGTTTCCTTCATCGAGGCTCGCCAGGCTCGTGAGATGCGACGATGGCTTGATTGGTTAGCCGTAGAAGCACTTCACAGGCTTCTGATATGCAAAATCAGCCTATAAGCCAGGCTCCGAGAAACAAGATTTCCTTCTGTTTCTGTGAGGCCTGGCTCACAGCATGCCTCCTCGTGTTTATGGCGTGCACCAGATAAGAGCGTAGTGATACGGGACAATGGGCCAACCAAGAGAGCAGTAATAGGCACAATGGGCCAACCAAATTGCTTCTCCCCAACGCTTGGGTAGATGGATATGACAACAAAACAAATGACTAACTACATCAGTTAAATCAGGCTATAGGGGGCCCAAATGTCTAGGACCAGACAAATTATATTGGGAAGGAAACCAATCACACCCTAAGCTAGTGTTGGATGGAGTGTTGAAGTGGGTTGGGTTGGGCGAACTTCTTTTAGGAGTGTTTGGTTTGGAGTTCACAGGGTTGGGTTCATCCCAGGAGGAAGTATTCTCAGTAAACGTGGGTTCATCTGATTCCACCGAAATGAAGAAACCGTCCCGACCCACTTCTCGTGCTTCGTGGGTTAGGCAAGCTAGGGTGCGCGCAGCTGGAGCGAGCCGAGGAGTAGCGCCGCACGTGGCTAGGGGGCAGCTGCGGGGAGGGGGGCATGCGCGGGCGGCGCGCGTGGCCGGGCGGAGGAGCAAGGCGTTGCCGACCGGAGGAGCCACCCGCCGCAGCCATGAAGAGGAGGTAGCAGAGGAAAAAGAAAGAGAATAAGAGGGGAGGATGACATGTAGGCCCCACACGTCACATACCTCATCCCACATCCATTAACCTTCAAACCAAACAGAGAACTAGAACGAACCCGTCACTATCAACCAAATAGGAGATGGATGCAACCCGACAAAAAAACCAAGTCGTCCTCTATAAAACACACACTAAGTCACCAGGGCTTAAGTCCAGCTATCGTAAAAAAAAGGCTTAAGTCCTGCTCTACTGGTGAATACCCAAATTTCAATATAGCTTACGTCTTAACGCCCTGTTCGGCTGATGGTTTCTGCAGTTGATAAGTCGATTGATGTTGTTTTATTGTGAAAGAAAAACATTATACCATAGCTGGAGCCGTTCAAGCGAACGGGCGTAAATCCAGCCAAACAGGAGATAGGTGCTAACTGAAAAAAAAACACATCGTCCTCGATCAAACACACGCTAAGTCACCAAGACTTAAGTCCCGCTCTCCTAGTGAATACCCAAATTTTAATACAACTTGCACCTTAAATCCACGTCAGTAGAACAATAGAATTTATATATACTACTAAGTATGTTACAGATACCACCCACACGAGTCACACCAAACTTAAAAAGCAGTGTCCTCCACGCGACTCCAGACGAGAAAGGGAAAAAGCTAGATAAATTACATAGGTTCAAGGAAATAAAAATAAATTACATAGCAACACCAAAGGACCATGAAAGCAAGCGCTGCCATTTCACATCCATCACCTACCTAATCATGCCGAGCGGTATGGCCGGCGCCCCCATCACCGTGCCGCCGGCAACTCCGCGCCTCTGCCGGTCCATGTTGGCCTCCCAACCTTCGCACGTACAGATACGAGTACGACACATCAGTGTTCGGTAGCGGTAGGTATGGCTATGAGCACGAACAACAAAAAGCTGCTTGCGTCCAAGCAAACTGGCCAGCAGCACTGAGAACTCGAACTGAAGCAAAGCAAGTGCTGCACACTTACCGATCCCCAGGTCGAAGCCGCGGTTCTTGAGCTCGCGGTACTCTTGGCACAGCGCCAGGTGCTCGCAGCAGCAGTGTACCAGGAAGTCCGGGCACTCCCCTTCGTCCACGTCGTACTCGGCCCTCAGCTTGGACCGGTAGAGGCACGAGTAGAGGCACCCCATCCCCGTCGAGGCGCAGATGAGCCCATAGATCAGTCCACTCGCGAGACATGCTGCCAAGCCAGAGTTTTGCGGCGGTGAATCGGCGAGATCTTTGAGTTGTTTCAGAGATTAAGAACCAGAGGAAGCTGAGACTGAGAAGAGATCGACTCACGGCAGGTGCCTTTGTCCACGATATCAGCGATCTGCCCGAACGTGATGCAGGGGCACAGGCATGTGATGAGACCTGAGCGCCATGGAAGAAGCGCATGTCAAGTGGCAACTAACTGAGCTCGAATCGCCACAGGACTGCTATGAACTCTGGCTGGAGAAGAAGAAGAGGAAGCGGGGGAACGAAGGGATGACTTACAGTTCCCCGGGTCGTCCATGCAGTGGAAAAGGCCGGTGGACCATTTCCTCAGCCCGCCGCCGGGGCGTGAAGGGTTCATGTTCGCCCCGTGCTGCTGCCGGTACGCTGCCGTTGGCGGAGCCCCGGAGCTGCTGAATTTGTTATACGCGTCCGGAGGGGCCGACGGATACATTGCTTGGGCGAACAAATTTGTTTATGCGAACTGCAACGCGCTGCTTTTAATGATTCTCTCCGCACTCCTCACTGTCAGCCTGTTCGGCTGGGGGCGGGCTGGGCTGGCTGGCCAGCCCCCTCACATGGATACCAATAAACCAGCCAGTAATGTTTTTTTCTCGTATAAACGAACCAGCAGCGATATGAATCAGCCAACCGAACAGGAGGCACAGGCCAGCAAGACTCGAGTCAAGAGTCTCCCACAGGTCACGAGTACTACTGGCTACTGGTACAGTAGCACTAAATAATTGCACCCGCACACTAACAATAGATGACTCGTAAGTTAACTTTAAGCATTTTCTATACAGAAGAGAGAGAAAAATTAGCTTTTGATATAGAACTAGACTCATACATATATTCTAAGAACATGTGAAAGTGTTACGTGGATCTAATCAACCATTGCTAAAAGCTAATATTGTTAAAGAGGTTGATTTAGAGCCACTAACTCGCTCTTCCCATTGCGGTGCACTTAGGGTGTCCTAGCACTAAAGATTTCCAAACGTGCCGGCACGACACTACACGGCCCTAGCCCGCCTGGGCACGGTCAGCCTGGGCACGGTTGATGAGGCGTGCCGTGCCGTGCCGTGCCACCGTGCCGGAGTTCAGGCCCAGGCACGACACTAAACTTGCTGGACCAGTGCACGGCGTGCGTGCGTCAGACGACAGCGACCAGCGTGCCCGTGCGTGCCACAGCGCACCGAAATTACAAAAACATTCATTCAAATTATAAGTTCACAGAGATAACTTTTAACTCATCAAAAACATCAGACAATGCCAGCAAAAAACAGCAAAGAACGGCAAAGAATACAGGCAAGTTTTGAAACTAAAACTAATTAAAGTAGGAGTTGTGCAATGGCTGCCTCATTAAAAACATGTTTAGATAAAACTCACCCTTGTGAGAAATCATAAACAGAAAAAGAGTACAGCCAGCTCCTAAGATTGTTCATAAGTTCATTACATCCAGCCTCCAGTATGTCCAAGTCTTAATAGCTATTACAGAACCATTACATAAATGAGGAACTTAATCAACATCAAGATAAAGTGCTTCAAAGGCCTCTTCCAACTCCTTATCCTCCACCATGTGCTGCAGTCTTGATTCAGCATTTTCCCAGTCCTTGATGCAGGTTAGTGCCTCTATAGTCTCAGGGCTCAGCCTCCGACGACGCTCCTCGATGATCCTGCCAGTAGTGCTAAAGGTAGATTCTGAAGAAATGGTTGACACAGGCACAGTAAAAATATCTTTTGCAAGAATAGAAAGCACATGATAAGTAAGCTTGTGCTCATACCACCATTGCATGAGGTCAAAATCATCATCTAACTGGCTGACTGTGTCAGAGTTCAGGTAGGATGCAAGCTCACTAGAGTTAGAAGCAGAAGCTGCCTGTAGCAAAGAAGTGGTAAAACACCCCTGGACTGATCAAGATTAGGAGAGAGGGAAGAACAGCCAGCTCCAATGCCAAGCTCATTATCATCATAAATGTCAGCCCAAACTGTTCTTTTTTTACCAGAAAGGGATGCAGGAACATCCCTTTTGAGCCTAACAGAGCCATACATTGCATCATACCTGTTGTACATTCTAGAAAAAAGAGCTCTGGTGTCCAGCAACGTGTTAGTATAATCAACATTAAAAAGAGAATTCAACTTTCTAAGCACTTTGGTAAAGCCCTTAATCTTAGCTCTTGGATCCAGTATGAATGCAATAGAATGAAGATCAGGTATGTTCTTCCAGTACTTATTATATTTGTCAATCATAGACTGCACAACAGATCTCAGATGTTCATCATGTTGATATTTATGTAGGTGAACAACGATCTTAACAATACGATGAATCATAAGTGGAGAAGTAGGATAGTACACACCAGATAAAGCGACAGTAGAGTCATAAAACAGTTTAAGAAATTGCAACATCTTAGTTGCCATATCCCAGTGATCATCAGTCAACAGGAAAGGACTACATGCAGGTCTAGGGTAATTAGCCTCAATGAAAGTACTGAAAGTACTCATGTGAGGTAACAATGTTTTCAGCATAAGGTAGGTGGAGTTCCACCTAACATCCATGTCCAGTGAGAACTTTCTAGGTCTAACACTGCTAGCAATGTAATAACTCTTGTATGCAGCAATTCTTTGATTAGAGGAGTTCAAAAAAGAGATTGTAGTTCTAAAGTTGTCAATAAGAGGATTAACAGAAGCCAATGCTTCCTTAACAATCAGGTTAATAATATGACAAGCACATCGTTGATGCAAAAACAGATCAGCACCTAAATACTCTTTAAGTATAGGTTTCAGTTTATCCACTGCATTTTTATTGGCAGATGCATTATCCAAAGTCATAGAAAAAACCTTGTTAAGTATACCATATTCAGCAAGGACGGTTTTAACACGCTCAGCAATGTTTTCAGCATTATGGGAGACATCAATCAACCTTAAACCAAGCACCCTTTTCTCTAATTGCCAATCAGCATTAATGAAATGAGCCACAACAGACACATAATCTTCTTTGGCCTTTCCAGACCAAATATCAGAGGTAACAGCAACAGATGAAACAATATTGTCTTGCAAACAAGTCATTAATTTTTCACGTTTACCATTGAAGTGCTTAAACAGATCTCTACCAGTAGTTTGCTTAGAGTCAGGTGCAAAGGCAGGGTTATGAGCAGTTTTAATGTAATCTTTAAAGGCATCAGTTTCACCAATCAGTAAAGTTAAATCTAGCCTAGCAAGCATACGAACAAGCTCAACATGAGCTACATCAGCATTGTACTCCCAGCGACGAACAGAACCATTAGGATTAAAACCAATTTGAGTTTGAGACATGCGACATTTCTCACGACGCTTAACACAAACCTTAAGATGTCGAGTAAGATGTCCAGTGCCATTAGCAGAATAAGCAGAGTATTGTTTCTTGCAATGTTTGCAAGTGGCAGCATACCTGACGGGTCTCGCCTTATCTGGCACCTTCTTGAAGTGCTTCTCAAAATCATCCCAGACAGCAGAGGTAGAAGGCCGATTGGAGCCTGCCACCTCACTGTCGCCCACCGTCGGCATCGGGATCGGCCCCTTCCCGTGGGACGGGACCGCATCTTAGTCACGCGGAAGGGGATCGGCAGCAGACCGCCCAAATAGCTCGGCCTTGAGTCCTCACGGACATCGTCCTCCTCCTCATCCCCGCTAACCCGCACATCCGCACTCGTCGCTGCTCGGGTGATCAAACTCCCTTCATCGGCGTCCGCTATATGCAGGGCCATCTTTGCCGTCTTCGGTTCCTCGATGGCTGCATCAATCAACAACAGAAAAAGACGGTTAGGGTAGGGGATTAGGGTTAGGGTAGGGGATTACCCTTACCTCTAGAGCCGGAGCGCCGGAAACGACGATGAGATGGACCGGATGCACACCCCTACCTCAACGGAGACCGGAGCCCCGGAGGTGGCGGCGGACGGCGATGAGAACGACGGACAGAAGACGGAGATGCGTCGAGGATGCTAAGAACGAGTCTCAATCGACTTTCGTGGTTGAAGAACAAGGAACATATGGAGATTGAAGGCGGAACCACCAGATCCGAGAGAGAAGAGGAGAGACCGAGGCGAGAGAGAAGCGGGAGATTGAGGACGGAACCCACCGGATCTGACCCCTTACCCGCCGGAGAACGCCATGGACACAACGGAGCAGGGGAACGAGGCGACTCTTAGGCGAACGGGCGAGAGCGAGGAGCGAGACGATAGCGGGCGAGAGCGACGAGCGAGACGAGAGCAGGCGAAATGAGCTAGGGTTTGGATGGGGGGGCGGCCGCGCGGTGGCTTATATACCGCAGCCCTGCCGGCGCCCCAGAGCCGCGCCGCCCGTTGGAACGGGCCAGGCCGACTCCTCGGCCCAGGCACGGGCACGGGCACGGCTGGGGCGGGCTAGGGCCGGGCTTTTTCGCACTGGGCTCGTGCCAGCCCGTTTCAACCGGCCCGTTTGGAAATCTTTACCCAGCACCCTGAGAAATTGCCGGCTACTGTGTTAGCTAGAAACAATAAATAAAAGAACAAGCTAGATAGAGAATGCAGGTCAGAGACTCAAGAAAATTTGGAAAGCGCTAGCCGCATGATTCAGAATCTGAACAAGAGTGGGAAAACCCGGCAGAAACGAAATCTTACCCTCCTGATTATTAACCCACTCATTTTGCTGATGAACAACGCGGTGGAGGCAAGGTAAAAAGATTGTCACCAGTTGGTAAAAAGATTCGGTTTCATTGAAGTCGAAGAAGGTACGTATTCTGTATCAGTCATTCAGACTTGAATGGACATAGCAAATCACCTGCACGCGCATTGGTTTGCTCGGCCTTGAAGACTGCTCCCCACATGGGAAAACTTTGGAAGTTCAATACTCAATGTCATTCTTCTTATCTTATCTTGTTTTTTTAATGAAATCTTCTTATCTTGGTTAATATACCAGCTGTGAAGCTGATTACTTATGCTATAAGGCAGAATCAACCTAAGATTTTGCTGAAATTCTTGACCAACGCTTGCCTAATGGCTGAGCCTATGCGTGATTATTGCTTCTCACAAGCAACCTGGCGCCTGGCGGTTACGAATCCTTGAGCAACGTCGCGTCCCGGCCATCTTCTAGAGCAGTACATGGCTACTTGGATACGACTGGCAACATTCTTCATTGTTCCATGACCACGAGATCAAATTTGTCACTAGGCAAGCAGCACGACCACTGTGTCCACTGCATGAATAGTGCGTGCGCGGCAAAGGTTGAAGGCATCCGATTCTTCGTCCCCGAGCGCATCCTATCAATGAATTCTGATGCCGGCCGGCCTTCTCGTTTCAAGCAACGAATCTTAACCATCTGTCAAAATGCCAAGCGGTGTCCAAGGATCAGCACATTTGATTCTCTTCTCTGCCTAACAACGCACACGAATTTCCGCGCCCCGTCCCCATGTCGTCCGGCCCCGTCCATGACCGGCGTCGCGCTCGCACCAAACGTGCGGCAACCGAGAACTGCAAATCTCCGGAGCCTTCCGGTTCCGGCCTAACCTCGCAGACCGGCCGGGAGACAGTATATATAGCGGCGTTGTTATCAACTATAGCCCACGGTTGTCTCGTGGATACTGGATAGCTATACCATCACCGTAACCGTATCAGGCAGACGAGGACCACCAGTAGTGTGTAACAATGGCATTCATGCGGTACTACCGTGCGCTGCCGGAGGGGGAGACGACGGTGGAGGAGTTCAGGGCGTGGCTGAGCCAGTTCGACGCGGACGGCGACGGCCGGATCAGCCGGGAGGAGCTGGAGCGGGCGCTGCGCAGCATCAACCTGTGGTTCGTGTGGTGGAAGGCGCGCGAGGCGGTGCGCGCGGCCGACGCCAACCGCAACGGCGCGGTGGACGGCGACGAGATGGGCAGGCTCTACGCGTTCGCGCACAAGCACCTCCACCTCAAGATGAGCCAGCTGGAGCTGGAGGAGTAGTGCTAGCCTGCTAGGTCGTCTGCCAGATCTCTGGTTTTCGCTGTAAATTAGAGTGAAGTGAAGTGTATGTAAACATGGTTTTGTGTGGTCGTGCCTCGTGCGCTTTGAAGTTTGGTATGTAGACATGTAGTCATTCTCGACGAGTTCGTCAGTTCATGCTGCTGCCATATGCAGTATTTCCTGAATGCAACTTTCATGATCGTGGATTTGGATGTTTAATAAGCTCTAGAAGTAGAGATGGTTCTATCAATTAGTTTGTACATATAAGTAGTATATATACTCCACTATGTATAAACTGTTTTTTTTTCTTTTTGTACAGCAACGCTTTTATGAATTTTTACATTGTAAAGTTTTGACATAATCGAGCATCTCTGACTCATGCACATGTGGATATGTACAGGCAACTTTCATGTAGAGGGTAACCTACTTCAACTAAAAAATTTCACCACAGAATCTTAATTGTTAACTGTCGCAAGGTCTAAAACCTAAATGAGACCATGTTAGATCTAAAAAAATTACTGCCGAAGAGACCAGAAACAAATCAGTTTTTTCAAGAGAGAAAATCTTTAACCAATAACTGAATAACCTGCTGTTCTCAACTTTGTAAGTTTTGTCTTTAGAATTTTTGGGTGCTTGCGACAATTGTAGTTTCTTTCATGTGCAAGTTGGATGTAGTAAGTCCTTACCTAATATCTCCTAGTTACATAGAAAAAACTTGGATCATGGTTATCCTTGAGCATCTCCACCGTATTGAGATTAAGGATCTGTTTGGTTTCCTCCTACTAGTCACTTTAGCTAATAAACTTTAGTCATGAAAAAACCAAACAAGGCTTAAGTTTAGTCATTGGTTTTAGTAACTAAAATTTAGTCATGGAAAACCAAATATGGTCTAAGTGATAATCTTTTTTCTAAAAGAGTTTGAGGGCAAAAATCAAGTTATAGCATATCTCCTTTTCATATATTTTTTTTCTCAAGAATGAGAGAACCACCCCTGAATCCCTCGAAGAAGAAAGAGGAAGAACCAGTTTTTTTTTTCCAATTCGCTTCCTTTCTTCCCTCTCACTAACATCCGCCCCATGCCAGGAGGGTCATCGCTTGTCACCGCCATCCCATGCCACGCTATGCCTCGAGTCGGGGATGCCGTCACCGCCACGCCGTGCCTTGCCCGCCACCCCATGCCCTTGTGCTGCGCCCAGTGGGTAGCCATTGGCACGTCGCGTGCCCGTCACCATGGTCGTCGTGCCGTGCCTCCGCCAGCCGAAGCTCTCGCTGCAGCATTGTTGAGACAGGGAAATGGGATAGGAGAGAAAGGAAAAAAAGATATTTATTTAGCACTAACATGTGAGGCCCACATATAAAAAGGATGAGATTTTCTCAATATGCTAGAGCATATTATAATTTAGTTTTAGTTTTCTCAGCCCCTACCTATACTTTGCCAAAAAAAAAAGCCTCCTACCTATACTAAATTTTAAGATGCTAAGGGAAAAGGATCCGGTGAAGATGCTCTTAGGAGGGCCTAACCATTTTCAATTGCAACAGATGGCCCAATTAACCAAGTCGTCCGTTGTTACGCGCTATCCAGATACAGATGGGCTAAATCTGTCGATACCCTAGCCACCTAGCTTGGCCCATTTAGCTCTGTCGTTTTTTCTCCATTTCCCGCATCTTCCCCTGCACGCCCCCCTTTCCTACCGCCAAAAATTTTGCAGTGCCTTCCCCAAAATTCATTCGACTCCAATCGAATCCGCCTCTCCACTCGCTAATCCCCAAAGCCGAAACAGCAATCGAAGCATCCAGAGCCAGCTCCATTCATCCCCATTCCGCTTATTCACCATCCGCGGCAGCGATGCCCTCGAGGAGCCAGTACAACCGCCGCGGCAGCGATGGGGACGAGGACGAGATCGTTGCAGTCTCATCCGACTCGGAGGAGTCAGAGTCGGAGGCGAACCGCGGGGCCGAGGCAGACGACGACGACGACGACGAATACGTGGGGGAAAGCAGTGACGCGGGCGGCGGGGACGAAGCGGAGGAAGCAGGCAGCAGTGATTGCGGCGAGGGCGGTGACGTGGACGGGGACGACCACGATGGCCACGGCAAGCGGCCACTTCGGGGCCTGCGTCGCGGCGCGGCGGCTCCCGATAAGGAGAGGAAATCGCAGAACGTGGATGCTCTTGTCAGGTACGCTCTGACGCCGTCACATCAACCTCTAGACTAGTGGATCTCGTCTTCGACTTATGTGCTCGTGAGCTGTTGTTGTACTGATTGGTACTATCGAGGATTAGTGGTGGTTTAGATGCTGGGGAGAGTTTTGATGAATGGATATGACTTTTGAACATTGAAGGGTAGCCTTATGTGTTTCTGTTGAAAATTCAACATTCTGTATCCTTCATTTCGGAGTGTGATAAAATAAGTCCACACCTTTCTAGAACCGTCTGAAGCATGTCATTTGCATTTGGGTGCTTTGGATCATGTTTACAGGTTCATTATAATAGTTCCATGACATAAACCAAAGACAAACCCGCAAACCCCCACCCACTGTCTTGTTTAGACTACGATAGACTAGGATTTTCAAATCCTCATTCCCATGGAAGCCTAATAATGTTACATGGCTTGATCCTGTTGAGGATTGATTATTTCTTCAACTATTTGATGGGTTCAATTCCTGAAGGAATCTGTTCTGCAATATCCAGTGTCTGAACCCATGAATGTCAATTAATTGTTTTAAGCCCTGTCTTGCTTAAGGCATTTTGTTTACTAATTACTATAAATGATGCATGCTATGATAATAAGAATGTCAAACAAGTGTGACAAGTTATCTAACATTTCCAAAAATATTATGAATAAGGGCTCGATTCTTTATGACTTATGAAACCTTAACTACCAGATAGCATGTAACACCAAGAGTTTCTGCAATTTTATGAGACAATGTACAACGTGAAAGAAATATGAGATAAAATGTTAACCTAAGTTACTGACAATGCTGCATGTTTGTACAATTGTACTATACCATCGGCCATTTATTACTTTTGTCATTAGATTATTAGATTGTTTGACGGGTGGGGTGGGAATGATGCATGAGGTCTGACTGAGAAGTTTGTGGTTTAAGTCGGTAGTGCAGTTTGCTCAGGAAATAGACAATTGGCAGCTAATCCGACTTTGCATTAACATCATCTTCTTTGACATCACTTATATTTTCTCTGGTTTCTGTCAGGGGTAACCTGGTTGTAAGGAGGCAGCCACTCATTCCACGTATTCTTTCAGTTTCTGATGCAGCAGCAATAGCTCGTAAGCCATTCAAACCTCCATGCCAAAATGGATATAGTGACAATAATGAGCAGCTTGCTCGGCGCCTTTCAGCTCGTAAAAGATTTGTCCCGTGGGGTTCAACACAGACATTTGCAGTTATACATCATCTTCCGCAGTCGCCTGTTGTTGCTAGCGATAGTTCGTCAGAAAAGGAGGAACCTCTTCCACCTGGTATTGAGCCATTGATTTTGTGGCAGCGCGATGAATGTGAGAAGGAAAATTGCAATTCTGCTTCTATCGAAGTCGACCACTTGCTTGTGCGTTACCTCCGACCCCATCAAAGGTATTATGCTCTTATCGTTTAGGAAAAGCTAATTAGTTCGTTTTTGAACTACTAATTAGCTTATCCTTTGTTTCATATTTTATAAACGGAGGGGATAGTTATAATTTAGTTTAGCATGCATCTTTTTACATGTTTATGTTCTATATAATGCAGGGAAGGAGTTCAGTTTATGTTTGATTGTGTCTCTGGGTCATTGAGTGCTGATGGTATTTCTGGTTGCATTTTAGCTGATGATATGGGGTAATATGCTGACCAAATCCTTCCCTCTGTTTTCCATTATTATACTTTCATGTAATGTGTAATACTACATGTTTTCTTTGACCTTCATTTGATTACTGATTCACTGTGTTATAAAGCTACTTCTAACTTGTAAACCTTTTTTGTACACGTCCAGATTGGGGAAGACTTTACAGTCAATAACTTTACTATATACCCTTCTTTGTCAAGGCTTCGATGATAAGCCAATGGTTAAAAGGGCTGTCATTGTAACCCCCACAAGCTTAGTTAGCAACTGGGAATCTGAGATAATTAAGTGGTTGAAAGGCAGAGTGCAGCTGCTGGCCCTCTGTGAAAGCACACGAGCTGATGTTCTTTCCGGAATAGAAAGTTTCTTAAACCCCTTGAGCCGTCTTCAGGTTTTCTTTTGCTCACTCATTATTTGTTAATATACACTATACTAAATGAAAACGTAGCTGCAAGTTAATGACCATTTCTGCTCAAAATATATGTTGTGTTTGAATCATCTTCAGGTACTTATCATATCTTATGAGACTTTCCGCATCCATTCTTCAAAATTTGAAAGACCGGGCAGCTGTGACCTTCTCATATGTGATGAGGCCCACAGGCTGAAAAATGATCAGACACTGACAAATAAGGTTTGTCAGTTTACTGATGTCATTTACACACTATTCATCTACACTTGGGGTTCCTCTCCGACTTTGTTCTGCTGAAACCGCTAAAATGCATAATGTGTAGGCTTTGGCTGCCCTTCCTTGTACACGGCGCATCCTCTTGTCCGGTACCCCAATGCAGGTACTTTTTGGTATCCCCCACCCCTACCTACCACAGAAAAAAGGAATTACATGCCTATCCTGGAACAATTGACTTGAAATTTGCTGTACTCAATGTTTTCTGGTGCTGCAGAATGATTTGGAAGAGTTCTTCTCAATGGTGAATTTCACAAATCCAGGGGTTCTGGGGGACGCTTCATATTTTCGTCGTTATTATGAAGTAAGTATGGAGCTTGACATGAATCAGGCTGTACTGCCAAATTACGAGTTACAGCTTGTTCATTCAAAGACAATCAGTACTTTTCATGTATGCTTAGAGGTATTTTTAGGGGAACCTGGAAAACATGATCAGAATTGTTGTTCAGTACTTTTATTTCTTGTGGGCCTATAGTCACTTCTCTCTGTTTACCCTGGTACCATCTATCCTTAAATGAAGGCACCAATCATCTGTGGGAGAGAACCCACTGCAAGTGCAGAAGAAAAGAAATTGGTATCTGAGAGATCTGCAGAGCTTAGTGCAAAAGTAAATCAGGCAAGTCTTCTCTGCTGAAGAAGTTTGTCAGTACTACATTCTGATTGGCATGCTATGCTATTTTACTCCATTAAAGCTATTTGTTATATTTTGTATCCTTTTTTGTGCTTGCTGGAGACTAATTTGATTGTGATGGTTTCTCTATGATATTCAGTTTATATTGAGACGAACAAATGCCCTGTTATCCAATCACTTGCCTCCAAAGGTATGCTTATCTGTTTGATCAAATTCTTTTAGTTACTCTGTATTGTGAAAGTTTAACAAATATGCTCACCATGCTTTTGATTGAAAACAAAATTGTATCATGCCCCATTTATTTTGTTAAAAAGGATTTTCCTTATAATTTCTGAAGAATATTTTGCCTACCCCGCCTTGCTTAAAAACATTGCTATTGTACAGATTGTTGAAGTCGTGTGCTGCAAGTTGACTCCTCTGCAGAAAACTCTGTACAACCACTTCATACATTCCAAAAATGTGAGGACCTAATTTTACATTGCTTTGGATTCAAACAATTTTATTAGATAAATGTTACACAGAATTTTTTTTTTCCTGCAACAACCTATTATTGATCCTTTCAGGTTAAACGCTTGATATCTGAAGAAGCAAAGCAATCCAAAATTCTAGCATATATTACCGCTCTTAAGAAATTATGCAATCATCCAAAGGTAAATAATTTAATATTTCCACTTGAGATGCATTTATCCTTCAGCTGAAGTGTCTTAAAGAGTATGCTTCCCCAGAATAATTTGTAGTTTCTACTATGTATCTTTTCAAACAGTAGGATTAGGCAAGGAGAATGTAAATTTCTCCTGATTATTAACTATTCTGTTCTGAAATTCCCAGAATTCTAGCCTCTTGATGCTATATAATTTTTTTTTCCATGAAAGTGTGCACTGTACAACTGATAGTAATAAAACTCCACAAACAAGTTATAATGAATTTCTGGGCACAGTGCTTATATTACTATTTCTAGTGATCATGAATTTATAATTTGAACTTTTTTTTGGCTATAAGCAAACTCCATTATTGCAGCTGATCTACGACACCATAAAAAGTAACAATTCAGGTGGCTCTGGTTTTGATGACTGTCTACGCTTTTTTCCGCCAGAACTTTTTTCTGGAAGGTACTTAACACTTCTCTCTCTATCTTTCATTTTTTCTGAACCATCTTACAACTACTGTTTATTAATGCAAAGGTCTGGATCATGGACTGGCGGAGGAGGAATGTGGGTAGAGCTATCTGGGAAAATGCATGTATTGGCAAGATTACTGGGGCACCTCCGTCAGAAAACCGATGATCGTATTGTTCTTGTATCAAATTATACTCAGGTCAGGTATTTATAATATAATATTTTGATATGATGTCATAAGGTATAGTTGATGTGCAGAATTTTTCTTATCTTAAAGGCCTTGAAGAAACACAAATTTGTACACTAGATGAAATTTTAAACTATATAACTGACTGAGTAACTGGTGTTTGCATTTTCCTTTCAGAAATAGTGAAATACTGAATGTAAATCAACATAGTTTTACCTAGAAAATTTCCTATGCTCCACTCTTCTATAGCTCTTACTAGCTAGTAGCTACTCGAGCCAAAAGGGCAACTGAGATTATTCAAGTTAAAGCATCAATTACTTGTGACAGAAATGGGAATGTCGTAAGGCATTGTTAATACTAAAATCTTCATTGTCTTTACGTTTGCTAGTATTTTGTTTATGATTAGACCATGTACTTAGGGCCTGTTTGCTTCGACAACTGCCTGGTCCAGGCAGCGTTCCCAGGTGTCTGATTTTGGACACCTGGGGTTGGATGTGCAGGCTACAGCTGCCTGGGCAGGGTCTCATCCAAACAGGCCCTGCATGGACAAAATTAGAAAAGCTTCAAATGTACGTGTACAACGAGCAATCCCAAAGTCAACCTGCTGGTTCATCCCAATCCTACTTCACAAGATGACAAGAATTCTGTTAATTGGTATAACGGGATACAGGTTGGGCATGCCTGCTTATTATGAGTTAAGGCCAGAACACTGTACTGTGCCTTGAAGGATAAATGGCACAATATATTTGCCTCAGTCTCTATTTTAGGGCATATCAGCATATGTTTGGTTTCTTTCTATAACCGCCAAAAGTGAGAAATCCAATGTGATTGTTTGTACACACGTCCTCATTTATGCTTATCTTAAGATCTTCCTATCTGTGCTGCGCATGCTTGTCATCAAATTAAAACATGCATGCTTTAAAATTGCAAATCTGATGATTCTGATCTTGTCTCTGTTCACAAAGAAGACTAAATGTGATTAATTGCTTTTGGAGACCCTCGAAGTTTGGAATGACTAATCGTTGCCAATTTGTTCTTTTTTAAATTCAGACATTAGATCTATTTGTTCAATTATGCCGGGAAAGAAGATACCCATATGTTAGACTTGATGGAGCAACATCCATCAATAAAAGGCAGAAGCTGGTGAACCAATTCAATGATCTATCTAGGGTACATAAAATCTGCCCTGTATCCTGAATAACTGTTACAACATACCGTTATATCTGAAATTATTGTATTTGACAGGATGAGTTTGTCTTTCTACTTAGTAGCAAGGCAGGTGGCTGTGGGCTTAATCTGGTTGGTGGAAATCGTTTGGTTCTCTTTGACCCTGATTGGAACCCTGCCAATGATAAGCAGGTTAATTTCTATGCATCTCATGTTCATCACCTTCTCAACGTTCTTGTAACTATGCTCCTTGCCTAACCTGGTCTTTTTGTGATCTATTGCCATCTTGAAAGGCTGCTGCTAGAGTATGGAGAGATGGACAGAAAAAGAGAGTCTACATTTATAGGTTCTTAAGCACAGGAACCATCGAGGAGAAGGTTGCCAACCCTGAAACTTGTATTTTCGGTTATATCTTTTCTTATCCTTTTTCGTTTTCTAGTAAATGGATGATAATTTCTTGCTTTCTTGCACTGTAACTTTATGTGCTACATCCTTCTAAAGGTATATCAGCGTCAAATGTCGAAAGAAGGCCTCCAAAAAGTTATTCAGCAGGAGCAAGCGGACAACAAAATGCAGGTTTAATTGTTGGAGTTTCCTTTTACTTTCTGTTCAAAATTTTTAAGTGCCAAATGTATTGATTTGTCATCTTATTGTTACAGGGGAGTTCTCTTTCAACAGAAGATCTGCGTGATCTTTTTACTTTTCATGAACATGTCAGGTTAAATTTGTTCCTCTGAACATGTGGCTCATTCTTTCTTCACCTTGTTACTAGTAGGGAAAGACATTAGACAACAACAAATGAGTTAAAAAAGAAACAGCAGGAACCAGTTGTTGGTTAGTACAATTGGACCTCACAGATTGGGTAGATGTGGAGCTTAGTTTGACAAAACATTAGCTATCTAATTTGTTCAATCATTTTCAGGAAATGATGCTGAACTTGTTGATCCGCTTTGCAAACAATGTCTGTCAGTTGTGGTTCAATGAAGTTGGTGTAGTTACTGTAAGCGAGTTTGGTTTGTGGAATCAGTTGCATATATAGAGAGATGACCATGGATTAGGGTTTATAGAAGTGGAACCGATCCTGGTCATCCAAGCCTATTTCAACACAATCAAGGGCACCTGGGCTATGGGCCTCTACCCTTTGTGCCTGGGCCTAAGCCCATCCACAACACAAAGTCTTCCTAAATGTTACCATTGCTTTCATGTTCACATTCAGTTGTGAGGAGCCGAGATTCAAGAAGACTCTACATGATTGTATTGTGTAAATAACAAATTATAATTAATTGATAAATTATTTGGAAAAATTAGATCATTGTCATTTGTTTTTGGCAAACCATGGATAGTATTTCAGCTTCAAGAATACCAGCAATTGCTAACTTGCTATTGACTAACTAGACTCCTAGGCATTTCTCGAGCTTGGCCAGAATACCCTGTCATTAGAAATTTTCAATATTTTTCTTGAACATGGAAGTATCTTAATAGAAGAAGAAAATGTTTAACAAAGACAGAAAAAACTGATACATATGCGCCGCACAAACAAGAGATGAATTTGTTAACACTTGCAAAAGGCAATATCTGTATTCACTATTGTCATCTAAATGCAGTACCTTGTACCTTAGTTAATACCATGTATAATATTGTTGCTTACCTTCATTTGCACAGGTCTGAAATACATGAAAATTTGAAGTGTAGCCGCTGTGACAAGGATGGAAATTCAGCTTTGGATGGTACTGGTTTTGCAGCCACTGATCATAAGGCTTCAATTCCAGGAGTGCAAGATTATGCTGATATTGGTAGGTTTGGAGAGATATCTGGATGTTTGCAGAAAATGAATAGCGCACATCACCAGGTAATTTTGATGGCACCCTATTTATATGTTTCCTAACTCTGCAGTAGCCAGTAGTTTTTGTTTAACTTGACCCATCGGGGAAGACTGGACAGGCCTGGTGCAGTGGTGAGAGCTGTCTCACTGAGTCACCAGGTCGTGGGTTCTAAGCAGCCTCTCCGTAGATTTTGCGGGGGGAAGGCTTGCCTAGGTTTTTCTCTTCCCCAGACCCCACTCATGTGGGAGCCTCCGGCACTGGGTCTGCCCTTTTTTTTTGACCCATTGGGGAAGACTGGACAAGGCATTTCTGCAGCTTTAAACCTCAAGAGATTTCATTTAACTTTCTATGCGCACCCTTGTCAGATTGGAAGACCTACTGAAGAAGACCTAGGAAGTTGGGGACATCACTTTGATCCATCAACTGTACCTGATACTGTACTGCAGTGTTCTGCTGGCGAAGAGGTGACAACCTAAGACCCTCCGTGCATCTGCATCTCATTGGTTTGGTTCATAAATCTTACTCGCTCCATTCCAAACTATAAGTCGTTTTGGCATTTCTATGTAGTATGTACATATATTTTGTTATGTATTTAGACATGACGCCTATCCAGGTGCATAGCCAAAGATATGCACTTAGAAAAGCCAAAACGACTTGTAATTTGGAACGGAGGGAGTACTTATTTTATGATTGTATGTCTCAGACCCAGTATCGTTTTCTCTGGATCCACTTGTTTGTTTGTACATTGCTTAATTAGATTTAGATGGTAAAGTTAGTTGAAAAAAAAGAATGGTTGAGAAGCTGGCCTTTAAACAGTTAGCATCTTTAATCTGTATTTGAGGAGAACCAACTTTTGCATTTACAAACAACATCTATGGCATCTGTGCCGCAGAGTTTAGTTTAAACTTAGTTTTTAGGAGACGACTACAACTGGTAACAAAGCACATGTGCATCTTGCAGGTTTCTTTTGTTTTCACCAATCAGGTTGATGGAAAACTTGTTCCAGTTGAATCTATGGTGCGATCAGCAGCTCATCAACAAAACGGAATAGCAGCCACAGGAGAAAAAGGAGCGCAGAAAACCGATTCTCCTAGCAAACCTGGAAGGCAATCCTTAAATGGCAAGAATTTGAAGTTGATGGGATTTAATTTAAAGAATTCGTCTTTGAAATGTTCAACCAAATCCAGAACATCACCAAATTGCTTGCAAGGATTGAAGAAAACCAGCCCCTCTTTGGATCAACCTCAAAGTAAAAAGCTTCATGTTGCTTCTGATATATCTGATGATGATTTTGTTTGAGTTTCAATTGAAAACTACGTATATAGTGTCATCTGTTGATGTGCTATCTGTTGCATATATAGTGTCATCTGTTGATGTGCTATCTGTTGTACATAGAAAAGCAAAAACGACTTACAATTTGGAATGGAGTACAATGGATAAACAATCATTTTAGCTCAGACTTGTGGCACTCAAGATGTTTGTTGTATTGAAGAACTATAGGTGTAGTAGCATTGTTTATAAAACATAGAGCACTTAAAAATTCAATTATCAATGTCAAATATGAAATAATATTTTAGTCAAATGTATACACTTATTTAAAATAACATCTTACAAAATCTATTGTCATGGAGTATTAATATAACTTAAAGAGAATAGTTTGTTTCATGGTTTGTTAAGGAAGCATTTTCCCACACTTGATAACTATTATAATAAAATAAAAACTATCTTAATGTATGTACCCTTAATTATAATTTTATAATTTAATAGTGGTAGAATTATGTAATATAGAAATATATATACAATGTATTTTATGGCTGTTGAATTATTTGCAAAATAGTTTATATTAGTATTTATATGTATATTTTGAGGGGTGTTTTAATTTTTTTATGACAGTAGACGTGTAGGTGGGTAATGTAGATAATAATTACATGCGTTACTTTAAATTTTATTTTATAAATAACATATGTGTGTATTTAGATGTAAATTTAGGGTATATTTTGCATTGTCTTTCATAATGGTAGAAGTGGATAATTTAGATGCAAATTTATATAGTTATTTTAAATTATTTTTTGTTATTGCATAGATGGATGATTTGGATACAAATTTAGATGGTTATTTTAAATTGTAGAGGTGAGTAATTTAGATATAAATTTAGTGGGTTATTTTAAATTATCTTTCATGGACCATAGTAGTAGAGGTGGATACTTTAGATACAAATTTAGGGGTTATTTTAAATTATCTTTTGTAATGTTGGGGGTGGGTAATTTAATGCAAATTTTAGAGGGATACTTTATGTATTTTTTATAATGATAGATGTGGATAATTTTGTATAAAATGAAATAGATCTAATTGCTATTGTTTGTGATAACGATAAAAGTTTATTGTAGTAGAGTCCAAATGTTTTTTATTATTATGAGAATTTTTCAGATTTATCTTTTTTTCTAGCGTGTCTTATCAGTATTAATGCGGAGCTCTATTTGGTGACACGTGCACTGTTTGGGAATACTGAAAAGGATAGCCTCTTGGTATATACTGTACTAGTCAGCTGTTTGATGTTGGTCGATAATTTTGTACTATCATCAGTAGCAAACGAAATGTAGACACGCGATGTTGTAGATCCTTGATATCGTAAATCGATGCATATTAATTATTTTCAGTCCTGGCGCACGGTGGTAATGTTTATCTACGGTTGGCTGGCCAGACATTACGCCCTATTATTGCTTTCATACATTTCAATGATGATTTGATTGTGATCGTTGACGTGATATTTCATATTTGGGCCTTGTTTAGATTGAGGTTGAAAATCAGTATTTGACAACTGTGAATCGCTATATTTAATACCGGTGGTCCATTGAGGCCTTGTTTGTGATCTGATGAATTTCTGATGAATTTTGTACTTTCGGTGGGACGTGTATTCTCCGTACACAAAGGAGTGATTTTTCTGGAAGCCCACAAAGGAGTGAATTGACACCGCATTATTTTCCTGGAATAGAGCATCACCTCAATCATCTATGACGTTCCGTAATGAAGATATTTTACTTTTTAGCATGCTGCATGCATTATAAGTGTATTTTTGATAAGTTTGTTTTTCATGATTATGTTACGTACAGTAGAGTAGTACAGTACTACATACTTCTGCACATGGCCTTGCGGATTGTACCCTCTTCAGCTCTCCTGTCCAAAAGTTAGTCGGCGATCGGCGTGTAGCGTGTTCGCAAATAAAGGTTCAGAAAAGGGTGAGATCTGCACTATGGACAGGAGACCAACTGGTAGATTTAAGCATGCCGCTCCGACAAACAACTAAACCAGCCACTTGGGTGATCTGCTTTCATCTCCAGCTGTCCTTTATTGAAGTCTTTCCATGTGGGAGACAGCCACACTTTTCAGTTAGCCTAAAAGCTTGAAATCTGCACTGTTCTACGCATCCCCTTGACCCTTTGGCATAGTCACGTCAAGTAGTCCTGGCGATTGCGAATCTGTTGATTGGGTGTTTGGATGGACTAAACTAAACTTTAGTCCATATTTTGGATGTTAATTAGAAGGTCTAAACGTAATCTAATCATGGTCCAACAAAAACTAATAGATGCTAATTGATGAGTAAAACCCATTAGAAAAAAGAACATTTTAATTAATCTATATTTAGCCTATAATTCAATGATGGACTAAACTTTAGTCCCATGATCTAAACAATAGCTTAGCGTGAGATTCAGGATGAGTGTTAATTAATTTCTATGAAAAATGTAACTTTTCTGCATACTCAGGGAGTAGGTTTGGACTAAGTATTTTTTTAAAAAAAATTGACTAAGTTTATAGAAAATAATATTGGCATCTTTGTCTCCAAACATGTTTACTATGAAAAAATGTTCCATAATTAATCTAACAATATTTATTAAAATAATAAATATTAGTATTTTTATCAAACTTATTGATTGATATGATTGAACTCTTTCTTGATGGCGGGTGTCGTTGAGATCTGTACTGTCCCTGGGGTGGTATTGATTGTTGGTGTTTGTTTCTTTTCTCCCTGAGATCTGTAGGATTAAAAGTAGGAATCGGGGTCACAACGAGTGTGGTCTTCATTCCCATCCCTCACATGTGCAGTGACAAAAGTTAAATGCATTACTTGAAGAAAAGAACTGTGATGTTCATGTGCTCACATGGGTGCTGATCTTAATGCCTTTTCCTAAACTCTGTCGGTTTGACCATTTAATTAGGTACTCTGGGTCTTCAACTCTTCATGCACGTTAACTTGTGAGAGTCCCTTAATAGATTATTCTCTCCGGAGCCATGGTTTAGGTGTCATTTGCTTGAGATGATTCTGGGCTTCTAGTTGAAGAGTTTGCAATTTCTTGCAAGTAGGACCTTCTCCTTGTAAGTGCATTGGGTGCAGAATCCTAGAGGAACTCACAGAATCGCATTTTCAGATCACGGTGACAACATATGTTCGTATGTTGGCAGTTCTCCCATTGCATTGGTGCCTCGTAGTTTAGGGTTTAGAAAAATAAGATATACTACTTTTATAAATCTTTGCGGCATCTTTTTATTATCCTGGACATTATTGTGCCACACAATGATAATGCCCTGACTCCTACTGTATTTGTTTTGGTGATGGGGAAATGGGGACTAGTGTTTGATTTGAGAAGATTCTCATGTCCCATCTGATTATTGTATTTGCCATGTTTTTCTTGCTTGTGTGTCCATGCTCTAAATACAAGTTGACACCTAAAGGAAGATAAGAGAGTGGAACATTAAAGATGGATGTCTCAATCTTCTGATCTATATTTTCGATCAACTGTGTTTATAAATAATAAATGACAAAAAAATTTAGACAAAAAAAACTTGATTGTCAATTTACAGTCATTGTCAGTCATCTGTAAATGACTTAAATTTTTGCAAGAATTTCGTGGTTGTTCAAAAACTGGTAATTTGAGAAAATGAATTTGGTGCTGTTTTTCCCCCATAGTGATCGACACCACTTTAGAACGCTGCATAACTGAACCTTAAGAAGCTCTGAGTTAAAACTATAAAGTCCTCCGCTTGTTGCAAAAAAAAAAAAAAAAAAAAAACTGACATTTGTGGGGCACGTAGTTCTCTTGCTCAGCATAAGGATCATGCTTCCTGTAGTCTATTTTCAGAAATATGTTTTGTGGCAGATACCAGTACACATTTAAGAACAGCAATGTTGATCACTTAGTTTTGCAGCTGCGCAATTTGCCATTGGAAGGCTCAAGCTGTTTTTTTCTTCTTGCAATTGCCATGTGTTCTTTCTTTTTTCTTTTAACGGAGAAGGCAGAAATTATCATTCAACAAGTTACCACGTGTTCCTATGTGAGGTAGAATCCTGAAAGCCCATTGGTGTTTAAAAACTGGGTCCTATTTCCAACAGGGCCGCTGTTGTGATTATATTACAAATTGTACCAGCATTACAAGGGAACAAGAACTCTTTGACTGGTCCGTTGTCACTTGTGGCACAAGACCAGTGACCTGTGCTATCATTGCCTGGTCATAGAGAGGTGGAACCAACCAAAATGGGGAGGATTCTTGGGGATCATCACATGGTCCTATTCCGAGAGGTCGATGTCGCCAGCTCACCCAGGCTTATCACAAACCGGTCAAGGCATCAACCAAATGATTTGTCACCAACCTCCTCTCCCCCTGTTTGCTCTCAGTCTCAGCTCATTGCCTGATTCCACTACTGGGCGTCCTTAAGCTACCACTTCTTTTTCACAAGTCAGGAGTCCGGTGGACAGTGACAGCCCCTACGGACGATACTCTGCTGGTTGTACGGGGTGATGTTGCTGATGTCCAAGTTTTGAAGAATATCCTGCAAGCTTTCTCAGAGGCCACAGATATTGCTGAAATCAACTAAGTTTTGAAGCAATATCCCCATTCAAGCTTTCTCAGAGGCCACAAAAATCTAAAAAATCAACTACAGCAAGAGAAACCTTAAATCCCCATTCACATGGACGCTGGCTTGGCTGGCTGCAGCCAGCCGAACAAGCCCCACATGGACGCTGGCTTGGCAGCAGACTGTGTCACCATCATGGGGTGTGCCCACCAGTCTTTTCCTCAAAACTACGTAGGCCTCCCTCTATCGGCCTCGAAACTGCCAGTCTCAGCTTTCTCAACGTATGTCGACAGGACCGACAAATTCCTCTCCTCCTGGCAAGCTTCCCTACTCAATACCATGGGCCAAGTCGTTTTGATCAACTCGGTCCCAGATGCACAGCTGGTGTACATCATGTCAGCAATGCAGATTCCTCAAGAAACCATCTCCCAGATAGACAAACGCCGCCGCT